TAAATTTATTTTGTACACTCCGTATATGCAGGGAGAGGAAAGCGTTTGTTTGTTTTGAAAAATTTATATATGCAAGAGACTTTGGTTTCAATTAAAAATCCGCCGAGTCTGATTGATGGCTCGAGCGGCCGGTGAGATTGATTTCTGTCAATCTGAAATGATGAAGAGCTGCCTCCACGCGAGGCTTTTCATCACAGTGAAAGTAAACAATAAAACTGCTCGACGGGGATAATTTTTTTATTGATACGGGAAAAATATCGCATCCAATAATTTTCTAGCAAAATACGCAGCAATTCCGACTCACTTTCACTCTCCGATGCGTGTATCTGGATCATAATATATTATTAATAATTACCGGTGAGCATGTGAGTAATTAATTAAGATGGCAGAGAGAGATACATGGCAGGTGTAATCCATATTTCTTGCAAAAGCAGGCATGAGATCCATTTCCTCTCTCATGCACTTTTTTCGATCTCTCTTCTTTCTTCGCATGCAAGTGATTTTTCCTTTTCAATCTTTGCGAAACGAAAAAGTTTTATTGCGAGCACACCTGACTTGCAGCCCGAGGACAGAGAGGGACAATTATGTACACTCTTGGTGTCGTTATATTTACGAGCCAAAAATTGAACCTGTATTGAAAGTGTCGGTGCTTGCAATAAAATCCCAAACCGAACATGCAATACACGTTATTTTATTGGTACCCACCCGTGCAATTATTTATCCCTCCGCGTCGTGATGTATGAATCGAAAACATTCCTCTAGGGCAATTAATCATATATTTATTCTGAAAAAGACAATAAAAACTGAAAATCATCGCGCCCAGACAAAAAGGAGTGTTGTTTTTACAGTGTCTGCCTCATTATTCTGGTCCACTGGTTTTTCTCTCTCGAAAGAGGAAAAGAAGAGCGTGCCACGCACGGAGAGTAATTACAAATTATTATTGCCGCGCGCACAATAAAAGAGAAGAAGAAGAAGAAGTCGCGGGGACGTATATATTCTCATTATGAATGCGAGGCAGGAATAGAGCAATAAAAAATAATTTATTAAGAAAAAAATGGCTGTCCGATATTATATGAAAAGGGTCTGCTGCTGGTATAATTACTTTCCGAACGTTCTCCATTCTTTGACCCGCCGTTCTCTCATTTCTTTTCTTCTGCGTTGGAAAAGAATGGGGCTTGTGTGTGTGGGTAATAATAAACTGAGCAGAAGAGGTGTTTCCAGCGGCAGCCCGGTGCTCCTTTTCGTGTCCGCGTCGTCCTCCGTCCGAACATAAATGTATTTACGGCGCGCGGAGAGCAGCAATGTGTGTATGTAATTATACAGTAGCTTGTTGCTTCTGCATCAAACCACGCCACACAAATAAGCCCGAGAACCACCTCTTCTTGTAAGGGAATTATAATTTGTTTCGACCTTAAAAAAACACACGGCGCTGAGGACTCGAACCTTGGGTTTGACACAAGGAGTAATTTGGCCGGGATATAAAATAAGAGAGGACGAGCTGCTCGGAACGCATCAGGCACTTTAATGTGAGGTTGTAGATTGAATTCAACCCTGGATGCCAATCAAAGTCGCGAAATTCGTGTTTATGCTTTGAGTAGGTTTGAAAAAGGTCAAAACAGAAGCAGGTTTTGAATGAATTAATTTGCGAAATTGGTTACGGTGGAATTTCCATAGGTGTGGACCAGGCAGAGCTCAATGGATGAATTTTTTTAATTGAGCCACCTAGAATTTTTTAATTAAATGGAAGAAATTTTTAAAGTGAATATTTAAAAATTTAAAAGAAATTGAGAAAAGCAGTCAAAATCCTATCATTGAATACACTTTTGTTGCCCAGCTTAATTTAAATTTGGTGCTGAAAATTACAATTAGGCTCGAATAAGACAATTATTTGCCTCTTTTGATCATACAAATTATTTCCTGTTAAAATACATTCACAACTTTCAGATTCAGGGAAGAATTTCCTATAGTTTCCTTTTAGAGAACTTTAGCAAGAACCTGCGAATTCCATTGTCACATTCGGTTTTGTATTGTGTTCATCAACAATGCGAAATTTATGTGCACGTCGCGATTAAATTAAGCAGCAGCGAATTACGCGACCGTCGTCGGCGCGTCTCACCATTGAGCCGCAGTCGAGGAATCCGACAAGACATCTGCAAACATGAACTCAAGAGACGATTTTATTATTGGCGTGCGTGTCGTCGTCCCCTTCATTCTTGAGCATCATCTACTGTAATTTATTTAAAATTTTCATTCCGAGAGCAGACAGGCCGAGACATAATGGCGGTGCATTAACGCACAGCAGCTACCTGGTCGCAGTAATTGCTTTATGATGATATGAAAATTGTAATCTGCGACGGAAAAATTCCAAATTGATATTCAAACGCGCGCTCTTGTTCAATTATGATTCAAAGTGACTGATAATTGCAGCCGCGGCTCATTATGCAAGTGCGCGCGGATCGACGACGAGTTTTGCCTTTTTTAGAGACTTCTCTGCTCTTGTGTAAATTATTAATTTGGTTTCTTTTCATATATCCAATGTCGATATTTATTGCCGTCGACAAAAACGGTCATCAATTTTACCCGCCGATAATTATGAACGCCTTTTCCAGCTCGCACGAAATTTTCTTGTCCGCAATCTTTCACCGTGTCAGCGCATTGGTCGAACGAGCAGGTCTGCTGCTTTGAAACAAAGTGCTCGCAATCGGAGAAGTGTTGTTTTGATTTATTCCGCGCCATTCTATCCACACGACTTCTTGTAAATGATAAATTCACTGCGAGAAAACGGCGCAAATTAAATTGATACTCGAACGCGCACGCTTCTTTCTTTCTTTGGCTGATCGCGTGAAATTTATGGCGTTTCGCCTCCTTTGTGCGAAGCCGTGCTCTTTCGTTTCAATTGAATTGACCGGCACATACGTTAACTCATTGAAATCAAAACCTGTAGTTTGCAATTAGCACTGGCTTTGCGGCTCTCTCGGTGCAATGCGAGATGCACAATCGTGATTTCACGCCAATCGAGCGGAAAATTCTCCCATTTCAGCAATTCGGTCGAGCTTTATTCAGCGGGTATTGATAGTGATAGATGTGTTGATTAAACGGCCGGTCAAATGCTTGGAATTTAAAATTTTTTACTTTAAAGCTACTGCTTTAAAAATTTTATATAATTAATTATTTTAACTAGTATTTTGAAAATTTTATTGTAATATATCTTTTAGTGACAAATTAATAGTTTATTTTGCCTTATTTTTTTATTTATTTAATCTGCAATTTATTGTTTTTTACAATAAATTTTTTTCCATTCCTTTTAGACATTTTATCCCTTAAATATTTTTAAAGATTAAATTCCAAAATGTTATTTAAAAAAAGCATATCAATTGAATATTCATGAAATTTAGAGTTAAAATTCCATTTTAATGTTCCACCATGATGGTGTCAAAAGTTTTTTATTTTAAAAATGTATATATTATATATTTAAAAAAAAAATTAAATTGACAAAAATATCAATCATAATTGATCTGATGAAACAACTATTGAAACAGCAATGAAAAATCTTATTCAAAAAATTGTTTATTGAGAGTGAATAGATGATAAACTAGGGTTAAACGGTCACATACTTGGAGTTTTCAATGTGTTTTTATGTTTTAAAAATTTATTTATTTATTTATTCGCCGCTCAAATACATTGAAATACACATCTTACATCAAGTCAATACACACAAAAGTATTACATGTAATGCGTGTGAAGAATGCTGGTTAGATAAATGAATGGATAAATAATTTTACATTAATTAGAAATAAGTGTATTTAAAAAATTATTTCAATGCAATATCTTTAATTTAATTAATTTAACATTTATTTTAATTTTTTCGTTTTATTATATAATTTATCATTTTAACAATATAGTATTTTTTTCTTTTCAGTCCTTGTAGAGATTTTATAGCATTAGTTGATATATATTTCTTACAATAGATTAAATTTCCAAAATTTATTTTATAATAACACGCATAATGCAGTTCTATTGAAGAGAAAATGTAAATCTAACATATTTATTGCCATATGCGAGCTGCCTTTTAATTTTTGAAGAATATATTAATAAACATTAAAAATAGTAGCATTGCAATCTTCCATTCATTGATTAAAGTTTAGAATTATTTAATGCTAAAAGAAATAAAATATAAAATAAGTGTGACAAAGTAAAAAATCAAATTGAATTGAAGTATTATTATTGCTTAACATTATTGGAAAATTTGATAACAAAATTTTGCTTCCATCAATTTAGAATTTTTGAACTCGTGGACTGCTTAATTTCTATACCTTCCTCATGTAGTCGGCGTGCGACTGCTGACAAAAGTTTTGAACCGGGATAAATTCGCAGCAAAAGCGTGTGTGCATTCCACGCATAATCGTCTCTTTTTACCTTTAAACCCCTTTTATCCGGCGCACGCGGCGGCTGGTTTGCACATATTTCGTTTACAAAGAACCGTTTTTATCCGCAGCCACGCGCATTGCCGAAACAACATATTTCGCGTGCTGCACAAAATAATATATATTATAATATTAAATAAAATTTATAACACATGAAAAGCGGACGCACATCAGTGAAAATACCGCGCGCGAGAGCACTTTATTGTGCCGCCGCCGACTACTTTTGATGGTTTTTTGAAATTTGCGATTGCCGAGTGCCGTTTTATTACGTCTGCTTGTGCGCTCAACTCATTCTCATTTATGACAAAAATGCAATAATGCGCACGGCCTCTTATAGGCGAATATTTGGCCGCTCGGTTTCGTAGCCGAGCGCGAATTCATCACATCGCAAAATGATGCACGCCATGCTCGGATATTTGAAATGAGCCCTCTATGTGTTTACGATGCCTATGGGGCTGCTGGTGCATTTTAGATTAGTAATATGCGAGAGCTGCCTGCTTTCGGCGTGTAATGCCATGTACTTATGTGTACAGCTTGTGTGCACTGATTTCAAATTCCCTCTTCCTCTTGTTGCAGAACACAAACGTTGAAGACAGCGGATTCATCAACGATCTTCCGTTGCTGAAAAGTGAGTACAAAATAATTACTTTTTCTTATTTAATTTATAATTTAATTGAATGTTTTTAAACATTTTAACAGAGCCTTCAATATTAGATTTTGCTACAAAAAATACATGTATAATCAATCATAATTATTATTCCATTTTTATTTCCGCGTTAATTCGCTACAAATTGGAAGTTAATCAAGTCTAATGCACTCTAGGAGTGCGTGAAATTCGATTTCCAGTGCAGCCAGCGGGAGGGAGATTTCACTCTCTCTCCGCATCTCCGTTGTGGAAACGCACTAGGCCAATTTGCTGGCAATCATAAAAAAGTGACGCGATTGAATACATATTTTTCACACATTAAGACATCTGCTGGTTGCAACTCGACACCGCTCGCGGGCATAGTGATATTTTGTTTGCCGATGCCGGGGTGCCTATTATGCGTCGGTCGCGTTTCCTACTCGCTGCGCACGCCCTTATTTCACGCCCTGACGGTTACTTTACACCCCGGAATAACAATGAGATCACACAGAAAAGAATAAAATCACGGGGTTTCGCTGAAAACCGTTGCTCGAATTAAATAATACGCCAATACGAAACTCCAAACCAACCCGGATATTGATTTTGCGCGTATAATCTGACGAGCCCAACCTCAAATATGCCCCAACCGCAGGCAAAAAATGCAAACAATATCGTCGTTTGCGGATTTCGGACAAATTAACGACGCGCGGCGCGAAAAGTCAGTGAGCTAAATAAAGGGCCAGATGCCGTTGGTTGGGCCAACAGTTGGACCAAGATGGCTCCCGGGCGTGTCAACCGAGGCCCCGAGGCGGAGTTAACCCCTTGCAATACCTCCCGCTGCTCGAACAAGCACTCAATTATAAAGTACAGCACGCCAGCCGGAATTCGTCACTCTTTCTCTCTCTGAAATCTTCGCGGGCCAAGGTCTGTCCCGTCCTGGTCGAGCTGCAAATGGGCGTAATCTAATAAAAATTGCATTCGCTTTTTCTGCTCCTCGGGTCGATTGTGCAGGCGGCCGTAAAGCAAGGCAATTTTTCTGCCGATGGCATTAAAAACTCGATGACCCTTTAAGAGAGGAAGCCTTTTCTATTTACCGAGAGCTCTTTTCTATTGTAGCGTGAGATACGAGCCAGGGCGCCCCATCCGTGTGCGGGCCAGACCGGAGATTGACTCCGCACCCTCGCCCACCCCCCTTGATGGATGTGCACTCGCGATATCTCTGCAACCCGCCCGACACACAAGAAATAGACCACACAGCTTATATATATAGGGAATCGCTCGGTGAAAAATCTCATTTTAAAGAAAATACAAAAAATTTACATCCCCGGCGCCTCCATTCAAGTCCGATGTGAATGAAAAAATATATAACGTCCTGGCTCAGTGGAGTGGAGTAATTCGGTGCGGCAAACGAAATGAATCGCGTTACCGTGTTTGTCGCACCTTCGCGATTTGCCCGCAATTTTTTTCTCAAGGGTATCCCGTTGCTGACGACGGGCTGCAGGGGCACCTTGGACTCCGCGCGTCAGACCGCAAACTTCAAACCCGACGCGCGAGTGATGCGACAGCACGCGGGGAATTGAGAGCGCTTTGAAAATATCTCGCCACCGCAAACTTTGGATTTTTCGCTGCGGCATTTTTGCAGTATAATGCGGCGCGCGGTGAGACTCCTTTGATTTAGCGCCGCGCGTGGTTTCTTTTTGTGCAGCGTTTACCTAAACCGATCCTTTTTTGTGTTTGCGAAAAAAAGTTAATTGAAGACACCTCTTTTCTTTCAATTGATCGTAGTACATTTATTTTCAGAAGAGCCAAGAATAAATATAAAATTACATTTAATTCAACTGAAAAAAATTTATTATAAAAATTTTAATGGAATTTCTAATTTATTCACATTATAGATTCATGACTTACTTTATAAATTTATTCATTTTTATGACATTACTATGGGAAATTAATATAATTTTAGTTAATAATAAAATAATATTGACAATTAATGCAAACAAACATCAAAGTAAAAGCACCGTAAAAAACTAATATTAACGAATACTTTACAATACAATATTTATTAATTTCAATTTTATATTTTTCTTCTTACCAAAATTAAAGTTTCGTTTAATACGACTCAGATGGTGGTTAAATCTATAATAGTCGCAGCAAGTCTCTGAAACATCAGTGATGAAAGCAAAGCCTCAATAGTCAATCTGCTCCAGTCGATCAAATCGGAGAACACGGTATCATTGTGCGCGCAGAAATACGTTCGGGCTGTGGCCCGGGATTCAAAGAAGCACGGCACATACTTCTTTAATGATGGTGCTGCTATATTTGAGGAGTCATGCAGCTCTTTTAATTACACTAATAGTTTCTCGGCGAGGGGTCCCATCTGATGGATGATGGAGTGTATCAAGAGCTAGTCGGTCGCGGTCTTACATCTCTCGGGATGCAGGAATAATATAATTACAGAACGCCGCGCGTACCTGATGTATTTTTCATATTTCATCGTGTGACGTCATATAGCAGCTCTTTTTTCCTTCTGAGGCATTGTAATTACGGAGGGCAGCCAGTGTGTACACACACACGCACAATTATATAAATATTCATGAGCGCACTATCGATGCAGGAGCCATAAATAATGACCGATAATGATGATCAACACCGTGCCACTCTAATTTCATGTCATTTTCGCCGCCGCCAGAGACGCGTAATTAAATTCGTCGTCGGTATATTCGCAGACAAAATGGCAGAGAGTAATTTCGTAATTAGACCCGTCGCGGTAATTACACCGTCCTCGGTCGATATAATCAATTTTGAATGTGATTAAAATAATGCAGTTGTGCTGCACTTTGTGCAATTTTGAAAGAGGAATTCCAGACGAAGAACGTTTCGCGCGCGGACGTGTGCTGAATTTATATGCCGAACCAGATTGTATATTTTAATTCAAACAACCGACAAGATCGGGTTTATTTTCCGCCAAATTGGTCTTGGCCGACCGAGTTCTTGATTTTGACGCTGGGAAAGAGGTCTCTCGATTATTAAGCCGGTGAAAAAAATTGATTATTACAGTAATAAATAATAACCTCGCCCTGGCCGGTCGCCGTGAATGGTGATTATCGGCCCCGGAATATCTACTGCAGCTCCCTGTAGAAAAACAGTAGCCGAGATTGTAAAAAATTACATTTCGGCTACCAACTATAGATCATCTCTCTCGGATCGGGAGCAGCTCCTCGCGCATATTTGCCCTCCCCTCTCGCTTGCGCTACCACTTTGAGCACAAATTCCATCGTCTTATTGCATGAGATGGACCGCGGCAAAGAGCTCCTCTTCTAATTGCATGCCATCAGACTCTTCGGAAGATTCAAATTCCCGGTGTCGCGTCTCCTCGCCGTTCTAGACGCGAGCATTTTATCTATAATTGTAGCGAGGCCCGCGTCTATATAAATTTTACCAAAGGGAGAGAGATTTGTTGCAGAAGCGGAGGTTGTACGATCGTAATTGCGCACGGCTCGCGTTCAAAATCACCCAGAGGAAGTTGCTTTTGCGAGAGTTGTAAAAATTGATGGCCTTTTTCCGTCGATTAGCAAATAATTTCCTTAGCATGACTTGGAATTGCGCGTTATTATTTATTTTGCTCATCGTAAAAATTTGTAAACTCATATTTTAATAGGAGAGATGATTTTTAAAGAAAAATTTATTTTACCTATAAAATTATATAATTTTTATCTTAAAAGCCAATTTTTATTAGTCATTCCGGGTTTAGTTTAATATTTTTATTTAATAAAAAAATAGACTTTATTTTTGCCCTGTTTTTGCCATGACTTTCTTTGACTTAAAAAAAGAATGCGATTTATGAATATTTCTTCTGTAAAATTTTCGTTGGTATAAAATTTTCGTCCCATTTAGGGCAGAAGCTATGCAACCGAACCGTTATAGAATGTGGCATTAAATCCGTCCAACGTTTTGATTATGCAAAAAAAACTAAAACGTCGCTCTTTTTCAACGCAAGAAGCTTGATCAAATCTCGACTGAAATGTTTATGTCTTTGACTGCTGAAGTGAGATAGCATGTCGGAATTCGGTGTGCTGTGCCTTTGGTCGCCGCGTCGTTCGCCCTGCAGCCACACAGGCCACATTATTTTCACGTGTGTCTATAATTACAAAGCTCACATATTTACACCGGCGCGGCAACAAAGAGCATCTCTTTTTCTCCTCTTTCACGGGAGCCACCGAAATTATTATCAACTCTTTTTCCTCTAAAGATAAAGTATCGACAGACGCGGGCATTTAAAACATTTTTGGCCGAGGGCGCTTCGGATCGAATGGACCGGTCGCTCGTGCGGCGCGCCTGCCTCGGGAGGTCACGAGGTGGAATTAAGTAGCAATATAAATAAATTAAAACGACGATTTCGGCAGGAGAAAGAAGAAAATTTGTGTTATTCCCGCCCAGGGCAGAGACACAATTGGCCAAATTCCACCAAATTGCTCGCGGTTTTCTTTTATATTAAATTTGCGCCCGTTATTTGAAAAATGGTACACACGCATCATGCAACAGCGAGAGTAGAGAGAGGCGTCAACCTGAAACGATCACGCGCGCGGCGTTTCACGAAATCGGGAAATTCGGGCATTTCATATTTTATAATCCGTCATTAATAATCGCCATTGCTTATATATTCAGGTCATTAATAATAACTGTATTGTGTTTTATTTTCGGTCCACCAGAGAGAGAAAGATGCGCGCTGCATATTTGAGCCATGGGCAATCTCTGTGATGCTCTTCTCAGTCAGATACAATCTCTCGGTGTGATGCTGCTAAAATTAATGATCTCTTTGTTTTGCTCAGATGATGATATATGAAGATATTAGCCGAGCTCGATTAAGCACAAAATCTCTGCAGCTCGTTAAATCCGAGTCTTTTCAACACTTTTTCTGAGCAGAGCGGACTTCTATTTTTTTTTACTCCCATTCTCACGCGAGATTCTATTAAAATAAAATAGGTATAATCTTCCTAAATGCGCATTATGCTCGAAATGAGCCTGCAGAGAGAGTCGCCACCGGATGGAAAACGAGAATTGGTTTCGAGCGTAAAATCTGCTGAAGTGTAATCTATCGGGCACATCTCTGTATATTTATAGGAGTGCAGCGCGCCTTAAACCAATGTACACAGAGAGAATAAAACGCTGCGCGCCTTTGACACATGTAAAAATGGTAATTATAATTGGGTATACGCAATGGGAAATTTAATCGAATGACGAGTGGTTCTTTTGACGCGCGCGGCATGCACGTCTGTAACAAAGCAGTGTCGATCGAAAGGTTCTGCTTCTGATGAGAGATTTATTATTGACTTCAAGCTAGTAGCATTTTTAGATTTAAAAATTTTTAATTTAAATATTTTACATTCACTTTTTGATCTTTTTATATATTACTTATTATATTTTTATTTAAAGCTTAACGGATTCAACTATAACATTTTAGTTTTAGTAGGTATATTAATTGATTTATATATTATTCTTTAGAATTAAAAAAAATTAATTTAAATAAAATACTCCCTCAAGCTAAGGGAAACATAGTGGTTATAAGATCAATGTGCACCTGTCACAGGCTTTTTTGATAAAGTAAAGTGTAAACATCAGTATGTATTATTCAGACATGATTAGTTATTATTTGATTAATTTACTAACAAAAATCCATACTTAAATGTAAAATTCGTCATAGAAAAAATTCAGGTCAACATAAATATAGGTGACGTATTTATTCATATTAAAAATAGTAAATTTTTACTGCCTCCGAAAATAGCCAGAGATGCCATGACCGCACGCAGGCATAGGCTGTGATAAAAAAAGTTGCCCACTCTGCGCTACTCGTAACATTTTAATAACTAACGGTGCTGCCGTGTATATTGCATAGATGGATCTTTTGAAGTTGACCAGCGCCGTGCGTCTGGCTGGTTGGCGAAAAGAGGAGCAGCCAGGAATTCTCAATCTCGAGCGAAAGATCCATGTACCGAAATGCTCTCGACGCAACCGCCACTTTTTATATATATCTAAAAAGAAAAAATAAAACAGCAAAGAAAACATCTTTCTGCTGCTTGTTGTACCGAGGGAAATATTACTGCTCGATACAAAAGCTATTTATCCTCCTTTAGAGATGATCACATTGCAACGCAGCCCCATGTTAGCTGGGGCGGCTATTATATCTCTAAAATAATATGTATTTCATGCTCCACGTCCTCGCTCTGTCCATCATCCGGGCCCGCCTTGTGCACAAGAGGGACGGGAAATTCTTTCGCTTGAAAATATTTCGCTTATTGATCTTGGATAAATATAGATTGGACGCAAGAGAGCAGGAAAATAGCTTCTTCGGCCTCTTCAAATATTATTTTATTAGCTGTCGGGATGTTGTTTAAAATCCATTGGTCAGATTTAGAGATTCTTTTGAATACAATGCAAACAATTTTTTGGGTTTATTTCAAAGTTGTCAAAAAAATTTGATGCTATTTATTTAATTCATTCCTTTTTTGAGAACAAAGATATGCATAATACTTTTCAATTTAAAATTATTTCAATCTATATAAAGTATAATTAAAGAACTAAATTTATTGCATTATATATTAGCATGAAATTTTAATAGAATTGAATTTTTACCAATATTTTATTAACGACTCTGCTCTGCTGTCAGACTCTTAAATTAAAACAATGCTTTCTTTCGTTCTTTGATGTTGGTAAACAATACAACTTATACAAACAAGCAAGCCACTTTTTAAGTGATGTTTCGTGAAAGAGCTGAACTAGCATTCTAATATGCAAAATTAGCGTGCAGAGATTTCTCTCGTGAGTCAGCAGCCGATAAGAATAACCGCAGCAGCCGCTCTCTGTGCGCGCATATAATGAGACACAAAAAATGCACTCTCTGGAAACCAAATTGTTTAATATTCATCGCACGCACCGTGTCCGCGCGGACACACCATATACGCATGTATAGAAATTTCCACCAGTCAATTGGCCGGACGGTGATCGAGATATGGCGAGGTATAATTTCGAGAAAAAAGAGGCCAACGGAAGGAAACGTCTTAAAAAGCCGCGCCCATCGCAGCTTCTTGATACTTTTTTTTTTTTAATTTCAAACTCGCTCGCGTTTAATTAAAACGTTTTGCGGAGGAAACGTACAGAGCTAGTCGTAAACAAAAGCGCAGACGGAAAAGGAGAGCGAGGAATGCCGTTTTGTTATTTATTGTATTAAAAAGACCGAGGCATTTTAATTAAATGCCGCCGCGCGTCGCGGGGGTAGAGCTGCTGCCGCGCCGAAAGTTGATGAAAGAACGCGCGCAGGGGGTTTTTCAAATCAAACGCGCGCAGAGAGAGAGAGAGAGAAAAAATAATAATAATAATATGATAAAGCGAGCGGCTAGGAATTCAATTTTAATTTTGGAGAGACGTGAAGGATCACCATCAAAAAGAGAAAACAAACAACCGCGAGAGATCATCATCCGATTTGGCGGATGAAATTGTAATTTACTCCATGCTGATTCGTTATTAATGGTGTGCGTTCGTGTAACTGCATGGGAGCTGTCGTTAAGTTTGTTTTAATGCTGCACCGCCCAAGTGAGAGGTGATTTGTAATGAGGTCCGTCCGTCTCTGATTATATTCAGCTGCGGTGGTTGCAGGTCCGTAAATCCGCGGCGAAATTATTCTTGCAGGAAGCAATCAGGCCAAGAGTGATGGGGAAATTATTGAGATTTCTATTTTTTAAAGAGGCGATTAATTCTTTCTCAAAGAGGAAAAGATTGGTTAAACAAAATCAATTTAAATAAATCTAATCTTGAAGGCTCTTCATTGTGGTAAAAAAAAATATGTACATTAATTAGTCAAATTAGGATAAATATTTAGTTATTTAACTTCACAACACTTAATTTCGGACACGACGAGTGTTAATTGACAAAGGATTTTTTGCTTCAGGCATGAAACCTCGCGAGGTCACAAAGGATATGGTCCTGAGCGGTGTTTCCGCCCCAACAGACGTCTTCTGCAGCGTACCTGGCAGGTTGTCCCTGTTGAGCTCCACATCCAAGTATAAGGTGACGGTGGGTGAAGTGCAGCGCAGGCTGTCGCCACCTGAGTGCCTCAACGCGTCTCTCCTCGGTGGTGTCCTCAGAAGGTAAGAAAACGCAGACTTTTTTCAAGTTGATCTATTAATTAAATTAAATATTTAAAAAAATAAATAAATTATAAAAATATAAATTTGCATAAAACTTGTAATTTAATTTTGTTAATTGAATTTTGTCCATTTGTATCCATGCAAGATTGACATTCATGTTGTGTGGCACAAACTCAATTATTTTGTCACTCCATTTCTACTGAATGAGCGAATAGTGCATTTCCTTCTTGATTTCTCACGCCGTCTGTCTCGCTCTGTCCGTCAGCGAGACGCTTATTAGACATGCCTCCCAAATCGATTTCCGAGCTGCTTCGAGAATAAATTCCAGATGCAGCATCTTGAGCATTCGAGTTATTTGCGAACGGCGAAATTAATGTCAAAGGTTGATAAACTTATCCCGACGTCGCCGATAAATCATTGTAGCGTCTCGTCCGTCTCCATATTTGGCTGCGCAAATTAAATACGCGGACGACGCAGACTTTTGAAATGAAAAAAAAAAAACTCAGTTGCTTTTTTCTTTATTGACTCGTCACTGCTCGTGAATAAACGAAAATAAACAAGCCATCATCATTTTTCACTTTGCCCACGTCCATTTTAATTTGTCATGTGATTAGCCTTTACGAGAAAATTGTTGATTAATTTTTTTTTTTTTCAATAATTCTTGCGCCTAATAAAAATTTAAATTTATTTTAATTTGATCTAAACTTGAAATTTCAGAAATGACCTTTCCCCTTTTAACTGTACATTATTTCAATAGTTGAGTAAATTTCACCAACCGACTTGGCTCTTCCTTATCACGAAGAGCCATTTAATATAAAATATAACTTATAAATGCTGAAAGTTGCAGTCGGAGAGAGAAATAAAGCAAAGATAGATCATCGCGCGCGCGAGAGAGCCGTAAATAAATTTTATTATTTCGATACTAATCGCCAATAAGAAGAAGCCGTTTAGCTGCGGGAAAACGAGACGCTCTACTCTGCATATGCATAATAAAACGCAGCATTTTTCGCGGCCGCCGCGCGCGCTCCGAGCCAGAGGCTGTTTATTTGATCAAGTGCCGGAGCGTTTTCAATGCGCTCATAATTCAATCCGCGACTGCAAGGATGAAATTTCAATGAGCCGCGTAATGAGGAAATAATCTGATCTGCATTATTTTGTTCTGGAATTCCTCCGCAAGCTCAGTTCTACATTCGATTATTTTTGTAGCATTATGTGATAATTAGCTCATCTCACACTTAAGCGAATTTCTCGCCGACGAGATGCAGTTTCTCGATACAACAAATGCATTAAAAGTCCGTTCAATCAAGAACGCAGAATTTATCGAACCTGCCGCATTATAAATCACCACTCTTATTAATTGAGCGAGCAATCGCGATGAAATATTAAGTACACGAGAGTGTGTTTTCTCTCCATTAATTACCAGCGAGGCGAGCAGAGATTGAAAATTATTTTTCGCCGCTTTTTGTTTTGTCCCTCTTTATATTCGTTCTCTCTTCAAAGCGGCTTTGCTCGTCATCATCACCGATTTAATTTTATGTGCCGGTGAACATAATTTGCCCGCTCTCCTCTCTGCATTGTCTGTCTGCGCACCGCTGTCTGTGTATTATATATTTTTCTTTCTTTCCCGCATGAAAATCGCTGCGTTTTTGTTGTTGCAACCAATAAGAGCGAGGAATGTAATTAAAATGGAGGGACGCCCATAATTAGGCGCATAAAGAAAGGAAAATATTATTAGCCTCTCCCCATGGTGTCGTCTCCCAATCAATTTTTTTCTCTCTCAGAGCCCTTACAAATAATCCCGTAACTCTTTGGCCGCGCACTTTTGCATTGTCCTAACACCGGGCTCTCCCAAAATAATAATGCGGAGAATAGCGGTTTGGAAAAAAATACTGCCGAGCAAAATTAATTGCGAGTTTTAAGGATATAGTGTTGTTCTTAATTAATTCTGCACGATCTTGAATATAATTCCAGCTAAATTGGAAAAAAAATCATGCATTTTAATATTATTTAACACCAAGATTTTTGTTATTGGTGAATGATTTAAATATATCTGAAAAATCTTATAAATAATACTAAAAAATATATAAATTCCAAATAGCGGATGGACAAATTATTTTTCTTTTTTCTTTTAACGTACCTGTTGACCTCTCGCATGTTTGTTTATTCACATCAGTACCGGGCCCAAAATGTTGACAAAGAAAATTGGAGGTGTGGTCGCTCAGGCACGGCAAGTGGGCTCAGCAGACTTAAATTGATAGTGCTGGCGGACAATGTCTTCATATTATTTAATAATGCTCGGCGAAGAAAAGCATGTCGAGAGTGTACAACCTGAGCGCTAAAATCGCGTATATACATACACGAGCACGCGGATGTTGGTTGAGATTCCGAGAGAGTCTGTGTTGAGAAAACAATCAAGGAGCGTTTGTGTTTTTGCTCAAGGAAAAGTGAACAGTACCGGCTGCGAAAACCATTTTTAACCGCACCGCCATTAGCGTTTTTTTGTAACTGTCTGGGCATAAAAATAACCGGTGCAGATAGATGGATTTGTACGTAATTTCATTTCAAGCTAACCCTCGGTGGCGCAAGGGTCAAACAATCACACACAGACACTCGCAGTACAAACATAAAACAATCGATGCAAATTACACACTCTTTGCAGCTGCGGCTTTTGCCTTTTCCTGCTGTGTGGATTATATTGAGAGTGCACTCTGTAATAAGCATTAATAAAAATATGGGCAAAATGCTGCCGAGGATAAATGTAACTCCATTTATCCCTCCGTTGCATGTATAGATTGGAATAAACAATAATTTCAGCGCTCTGTGGTTTTTCCTGCTGCGCGCACTTTGCACGTTTTGGTTTTAGGCAAGTCGCCTTTCACTCGGTGTGAAATTTTCTCCAATATCAAATTCTTCCCCCGCACTCGATATATATTTCATATTAAATATTTTCACTCGTTTCCAGAGAAAAGCGATCGCACGTCTCAGTTTAATTTTCGCGTATTATTATACACGCGGCGCTCTCCCCTGCCGTGAATATTTCGTTCGCAGAGAGCAAATAAGTTGGAAACGCGTCGGAAATCACGTTCTTGCTCGGTCTTCATTAAGTTTCGCTTGCTTGATAACAAGACGACGCCGAAGAACACAAGAGCAAATAATGGGCACATAAACCAACAAAGCGCTGTGCACAGTGCCGACCCCGATTAATCAGGCACGTACCTCATTTGCAAGCGGAGCAAAGACGAGAGCAAACTGCGGCCAATCGGAGCAAATGACGGAATATCAAACTGAATTTCTTTCAGATTTAGTATTATACGATCGTAATATCATTCACGACTTAAATATGAAAATTTCCAACAATTTTTATTTTTATCTTAAATCATAATTTAATAATCACATTATTTGCACACTAACGGGAGAAGCTACTCGCAAGGAATTTTCTTTCAAATAATCAAGTATATTTCAAACTTTCTGTTACATTTATTATATTTTCTCATATGTTTAATTCATAAAATACTTTTAAATGTGTTAAGACAATAAAAAAAATTAAATTTAACACATAAAATTATTTAAATAAAAGCTTGTAATAAAATTAAAAAAAATCTAAATTAATAATAATATAGAATATGTTTGTTATAATTTATAACGTTTATTTTAAAATAAAATATGTTTATATAAATGGTATAATAATATTGTGTTAATATATTTCCAGGGCCAAATCCAAAAACGGTGGCAGATTGCTGCGCGAGAAGCTGGAAAAGATTGGGCTGAACCTGCCTGCTGGCCGCAGAAAGGCTGCCAACGTCACCCTGCTCACGTCGCTAGTTGAAGGTAAGGAAAAGGGTTGATTAATATTTTTTTGGACGAGTAAATGAGCCAGAATAGAGAGTTATTAAAAATAGAAGGTTTGGGGGGTTTATTATCGCGACGAGGCTGCGTGAATATTAAACACAAAAGAAAAGGCCTCTCGTCTCTTTCTCTGCGCTCTGTGTAATAATCGCGCGCGCATCCTTTAAAAAGTCGAACAATGCGCCGCAATCTTCTTATTCTGGCGCGGAAGAATTAGAACCTAATGAGGCAAGACCGCTCATTATTGTCTCCGGTCATTGTCGCGGCGGCGGCGTCTCTTTGTTTAATATTAGCACCACATTATTCTCGCAGGTGTAGCCCCTTTTTAGAAATTTTTGCGCCTGTAAGTATGCAAATGTGCCGACTTGAATCACGCCGATATCAGCTTAATTGGTCTGTTCCACCGCAAACGACAAATCTTGTATGTATTAATTGTAAAGAAAATATACCATGGAGTGTGTTTGAAGCAAAATGAACTATTTAAAAACATATCAAATTTTAATTTCTTTTAATAATTCGTGCAAGAAATAATACAAACTGCAAAATTTGAAAAAGGAACAAACTCGTGCATTTTTCTCAAAATTTTTTGAGAAAAATTTTTACAAAGGTCTGATTTAAATAATTGAAATTCAGTTTCAATTCATTTCTTTAATGCTCTAATTAAAAATTCATTTTCAAGCACGTATTCAACAGGCCCCTGTTGATGATGACGTGTGACGAGTGTACCCTCATTGGAGAGAAATGAGAGTAATTTGTCGTGCTTGTAATGCAGAGGGGGTGCGATCACAAGAGGGAATTCGAACGCGCCACTTTGCATCTGCCGCTCGCTTGAGTGGAAATAAACACACATAATAAATATGGCAATGGCAATCGCAGCTGTCATCGCGAAACTATTTGCATCACAAAAGCCAAAAGCAGTGCTAGAAAATTATTAGGTAGATCAAAAAGAATGTACATCAAACTCCGCCCCTTTGAGCAGATTATTATTTTTTTTTTATCAGTTTAGCGTAAAAATGGAGAAAATTGTTTCGCTTTAATCCGAGGGCAATTATTTTGATTGAATTACGGCCGCGGAAAAGTTGGATTACTTTCGCGAGTTAATCACGACCGGGTTATGGCTTATAGCACACATATGCACGCCTGTAAATTACCCAACACACAGATCGTTTACGCAGATTAAACGATTTAATGCACACAGCTCGGCGAGAGAATTTCTTTCTCACAAAAATCACAAAATGATGCACTCGCCGGAGTTTTATGTACCTTCAGATTTATATTCCTTCTCTCTATAGACGAGTATAATTTCAGGACTCTCTCTCGTATTACGTTTTTATATGGTCATCAGACCCTAATATTTTTTTGCCTCGAACCTTTTTTCCTCTCGAAGGGTTATTCAGATATATTGGAGAGGAATTCTCGCAGTTTTCGCACCAACTTGACACCCTTTTGAGCGGAGATTAAAAAGAAATTTTATCCACCAGGCCGTTATTTGTTTTCGGAAATACCAATTGAAGAGTGACTGCGCACAATTTTTTTTTGTGCCCGTCGTCGACACTCAAGTGGGCCTTCGCGTTAACGTCTCAGGATGGACCACTGCGCTGATATCATTTTCCGAGTAACAGATAATTGTCCTCGACGCACAGATTACACGGTGTGTGTGTTTGCTGCAGACAAACAAAAGGTCAGCATCAAAATCGTATCCCCATTCGGATAGGATTGCGTTCCTGGAAGCTCGTTTTTCCACAGTGTTGGACACACAATAGCGATATTATATATGATTCTTGTGGTTTTAGCCCATTCCATTACCCACTCGCACACACACCACACGGTATAAACACACGGTCGTCGCGGTTATGATATTTATTGTGTCGGGAGGATCAATCATCGCCATCATCATCCTAGACTTTCATCGCGCGCGGTCGTTATTTTATTTCGCTGCAGTCGTAATTTGCCGGCGAGAGATTCTGACACGTATAAAAGTAGTGGCTTTTGATGTGAAATGATATCTCGTCGCAGCAATTTCTGCATCTCCGGCGCAGAAGTTAAACAATTTTTGCGGTCGCCCGTGAAAATAAATTCGCAATTCCAAGCGCTCGAAATTTCTTTCTTTCGCCAATTTGCTGAACGGTGTCTTGGAAAGTAAATTAATAATAATTTCGGCCGACAGGCGAGTCGGAATTTTCGTTTCTCTGACACCGAAATAAATAAAAGTAAATGCATTCCTTTCTAACACACACACTCACCAGTGGCCGCTGTAATTAAAAGCACGCGGAGATCGACACGCTCGGCGAGAAAAACGCGTGGGTTTTGTTTTCCTCTTTTGATTTGAACGCGTGCGGCCTTTTCATTAAAAAAAGTAAAAAGAAAAAATATCAGATCCAAATTTTTATTCGTTTTTCTTTTTATCTTCAGTGTGATAAAATCAAGTGTGAATTTCATTTGAAATATACGAAGGAATGTTATCAATGAGAATTTTTCAAGAGGTTTGCACCTTGAACATCTTTTCAAGGTGGCCCCTGAGGCCATCGACCGGGAATTTCCCCGGTGGGCGTCGTTTATGCAGATTTATTTTGGACACAGGTGTTGATTTGCGTTGGCCCGCTTGCTTATTTACTATTATTTTCCAAATTTACTTGCCCTGGGTGAAACACCGTTTTACGAACGCTCCTATGCCCATTATTCTATACTGATGCTGGGTGTTTTTCTCTCTGCATAGAAGCGCCAGTAGCGATTTCTGGGAGGCGTAATACCTATTATTATAGACGCTTTTGAAGAAATTTGTGTTGAAAGTCTCAATGGGTAGTCAAGTCATCAATCGAGTACTAATTTGAGTAAACACGCTGATTCGCCTTTTGGCATTTCGACTTCCATATTATTAAATTCTCCATTCACTTTTGAAATTTGCATTTTCTTTCCACAAATTAAAATTAGAAAAGATCTCTTCGTTAACAAATCTGATTGTGTTCCACCAGCACAAAGATTGAGAGCAATCATTATTTGTGTCGATCGCACAGGCCTGACAAAGAAAGTCCAATCCACGAGAATATTACACATTTTATTTTCAATCAGGCCCGTCGATCGAAATTTATTAATTTTTAATTACGGGCCGAACGCGATGTGTAATTAATCAATAGCGGTGGCTTTGTGGAGCAGAGAACAGTTATGTTTTGTCATATTACTTTTCGCCACACGGTGAATGCAGCACGGCTGTCACCCGAATGAATGCACGTCTTTCAAATCGCTGCATACACAGCAATCGTCCATTCCACAGAAGCAGAAAGGCCTAAAAGCCGCGGCCGTAATTAAAATTATCGCGGCATCGCCAATCAATGCACTGTCCGATTGATGGCTCCGTTATTATTATTATTATTATTAAGTTACTGTTTGTGCCGTTTGTTATTCCGCCTCTGTTTTCGGCTCTCTCTCGTAATAATAATTCATAATTTCCCGCTGAAGTGAAATTGCCCTCCACGACGCGCATATCATTACGAGACGGATGAATTATGATTGCCCATTCATAATTTAAGCAGGAGCAGCGAAACAGGTGAATATAAAAAGCTCGAATGGGTGCGCCCCGGCGGCACACTTTTATTTCGAAAAGATTCCCCGCAATGTATAGGAAAAATAACCACTCTGGAATGAAATGGGGTATCTCGCGATAATTGTATCCGTTTGTGAGCAAGTAGCTGCGTAGTGCAAGTTTGCGAGCAGATTCGGAGACTGCCGCGCTGATCACTATTATTATCCGGTCGCGATCGAGGCCAGCAGCCGAACGAACAATTTCCTTAATTTTCATTTTTATTTTTTTTTATTTTTGTAAAGCACAAAGTTCATTTACCTCAAGAGGTGCTCGCTTATAAATTTTTATTGATGCTACTTGAGAAATGAATTTCGCTCGTCTCTAAATAATTGAAAGTTATCCATCTCAATTAAGCGGCGCTTTAAGATACAGGCCTGAGATAGGACGGGCGTGCACCGCAGAATGAGATTTGCTTTACGCGTTATTATAAAATTGATAAAGCGGCCCGTGTGTGTGTGTTGAATGAATGGGCACGCCGACTAGCTGCCCTCTCAGTCAGATGAATTACTTGCCGCGTTTAAACGTACAAATATATATTGTTATATATTATTCCGCCGAGCGTTTCCCTTGAGAGCTTCGAGATATGTGACGTCAGCCGCGCGAATGATGAAAAAACCGGTCGCAGGAGGATTCGTCCATCCTGCGAGATGCGAACGTGGATTTTTTGACCTGACTCTTCAGACCCTGCTTTCTTTATTCAAATTATCTTGCCGCATTTGGCGTTCTTATAAATACGTTGGGCTGTAGGAAAAAAGTAATTGATTCTGGGAAATTTCAGTCTTGCGAGCGGTCGGCTCACAATTGGTCTAATTGGACCGAAACATTTGCATATTTTTACGGAGAAACGTGACAGTTACCGTTGTTTTAACAATGGAAGATCAGCTCAGTTAGCCATGATTGCAGATTGACCTGAGCAAAAAATTAAATTAAATATATTAATTATTATAATTAATGTAGTTGATGCATTAATCTATTATATTAAATATTACTCTAGTATTTTTATTATGTCTTTTATTAGGAAGAAATCAATTATAAAAAAAATCTACCAAAATTACATAAAAACATGGAAATTAAACGAAATATTTTAGATATTATTGTACCACTTGAAATTGACTTGATGACATTTATAAATTTGGTATTTCTGTGATTTCAGGCGAAGCCATTCACCTGGCGAGAGACTTCGGATACGTCTGCGAGACAGAATTCCCCGCGCGCCAGGTCGCCGAGTACCTCAGCCGGCAGCACGCCGACCCTTCCGAGTCGTACAGACGCAAGGAGCTCATCCACGCCACAAAGTAAGCATTCGCGAGACGAACACGCCCCGAGTGCACACACACGTTAAACAAAGCGCGGCCGTGAGAACCGTCCCAAATTGAATGTAAATCTTGTGTCGCATCGGCACGAGATCGCCCAAGTCGAGCGACACTCGCGCAAAATCACGCGCGCCTCATCACGACTTTCAGATCAGATGGAAATTGCACGTGTACAAAAAGTGCTTCCGAGAAAGCAGCAGAAATGATTAGAATTATGAAACGAGAGAGCTTATTATATGATTATCGCAGCCTCTCCGCACACACGCGGAGAGATAAACAAAAAATACGCCGAGGAACAAATAAATAAGCGAGAATGGCACGGTCTGGTGATTCACAATAAAAACAGCGCGCAAAGCGGAATGAAGTCGGAGAGGTCAGGAGCTGCATTGAATTGCGAGCTCTCGCAAATCGATAAATCTCGCGCTTGATTCTCTTTCGAACACGGCGTGTGTTTTGTATTATACGTGTGTGTGTGTGTGTGTGCATTTGAATAAAATAAGCGGCGTGCTTTATATATATTTATTTATTTCGCCGCCAATGGCCGCAGATTCTGGGAAAGTTGTGTCCGACGGTGAAGTAAAAAGCTGCTTTCTTGTCGTTTTACAGGCAGATAACCAAAGAATTGATGGACCTGCTTAATCAAGATCGCTCACCGCTGTGCAACACTCGGCCGCAGATTATCTTGGATCCCAGCATCCAGCGACACCTCACACATTTCTCGCTCATCACCCACGGCTTCGGCAGCCCAGCCATCGTTGCAGCTCTCACTGCTATCCAGGTTAGTTTGATAAAAATAATAATACAAAATAAATTACTTCGTCTTTTGAGGCAAACAAAATACATTCTTTATTAAATTTAAGGATTTTTTTGAATATATGCATTAACGCAATTTTTGTTATATATTATTATTTTAATTTATTTTATTAAGTATGTATATTTATTTGCTTCAAATTATTCTATAATTTTCATACAAAATTAATAATTAATATTTGTGACATTTCCACAATTCCAGACTTTCAATGATATTTATATTGACATAATATTTATCCGTCTTTCTGTGGGGTAAATTTTTTTATGTAGGTGATAATTCAGTTCAATGGCGAATCAAAAGGCTTTCTTGCCATTCTCTGTTAAAATTGAGATACATCATATAAATATTCAAATAGTATGAAGGGAATTTAAAATGTAAATACAAACACAAAGAGCACAAAGTTTTCTTATAAAAAAACTCTGTGGAAAGAAAAAAAAATATGTCTATTATTAAATTCTTTGTAAAAATTAAAAATTTAAAATAACTTACTGCAATTTTTTTATATATAAAACTCACTAATTGAAATTTGTTGCAGAACTTCCTGACTGAGAGTTTGAAGCACCTGGAGAAGGTGTACCCGAGCGGCAACTCGCACGTGTCGGTGACCTCGTCCCAAAATCTGGACACCAAGCCGAAGGACCTCGATAAGAAATGAGGTTGGCTAAAGCGGGCCGGCAGTAGTGGCTTGTCCGTGTCGCACCCCCAGTCCCACCACACCAGCAGCAGTGGCAGCAGCAATTACGCGGAGGCGACGCAAGGCAACCCCCTGCAGCCGCCCCCGCCGCCCCACCACCCCCTGGGACACCCGTCGGACGCCCTGTCCAGCCGCCGCTCGTGGGAGCACTTCAAGTAAAACGAACGCAAAGTGCTTTCAGAAAATCATTCAAAATCAACACAAATGGACAAATTGATTATATAATTATATCTGGACCACTACTCGCTCTTCACTCTGTCTTGATTCTTCCAAGGTTATCAAAGGTGTGAGTCCTGCGTAAAGTACAATACATCACATATAACATTATACATATATTATGACTCTGGATTCCCGCCCGTGAAACGCCCACCTGTTTTTAACATTCCGATTGATTTTGGTTCTCAAGTGCTGTAATGTAAAAAAGTTTCGGCGCGCTCTCTATGCTGCTCTCAGTGCCACGGACCTGCGCCACTTTGACATTTTAGAGTGTAAGAAAATTGCGTGTACAGTCAGATGACTTACAAATTGAAGTTTTTTTTTTTAATTCGTTAGCCATAAATGTAAGGGAAAAGTGGAGTGCTGAATTTTTTCTGGCCGGAGACCTTCGGAAGAGAAGCCCAATGGCGCCAGCTCAAAGATTGCGGAGATTTTTATTGTATAGCTCTTTTGTTTTGCCCGTCAGCCAAAATGTGCTGGGAATTCTCCTAAAGACTGTCTCCAGGACTAACGTGTAACATATCTGAATACCATGATGATTGTGTCGAAATTTGCTCTCTGATAAAATGGGAAACATTCAACCCCTGTTTTTGTTTGCCAGACATATTGAATGCTCAATTTTGTTTATCTTCGCACAGTGAATCTATTTTTACTTAATTAATTAACCCTCCAATAAAAATAAGACTGCTCCTGTAGCTGAATTTACAAGCGTTTCAAAGAAGAAAGTACAGAGCAAAAGTGCCAAAATCATTTGTTTAGTGCAAACACGCCCAAATTCCAAAAACGTTTTTGAACCTTGAACAAACAACGCATTCCAAGATATTGAAAGAAAAAATTGATCTCACGTTTAATGGATATTATTTTTTTGTGTATTCGGGTGCTATATAAGTAATCAATAACTTTTTTGTATTAGAAAGCGGTCAGCGCCCCAACAATAATACTTTGCAATAATTACAATGATTTATTTTACATATTTATTTAGAGCCACTTGATCGACGTCGAATTTTGATCGGCGAGACCATTTTCTTTATGAATAATAATTCATCTTTTGTTGATCGTTTTGAATAGTTTTATCACGTTGCCAAGATATTTAAGTTGTAATTAGCTCAGACGCGTGGCTTTCAATGAGCCACCGTTTATTTGTAAATAATTATAATTCGTGTAAAAACCAAAACCACCCCTAACTCCCTGAGATTCAGTCTTCTCTTGCGTCTTCAGTAAAAAAAAAATTAACGTCTTTGTACATACAGACAGGTGAAAATTGAGCTGCAAATGGGTGAGAAGTAGCGGATGAGAGAGAGAGCGTACGGATATAAAGAGTAACCTTTGTTTGTTACACATTATTTACATACTCGCTCGTGTGTAACCATATCATATCCGCCGTGTAAAGTTAAGAGCCACTCTCGTTGCCATCTACAGTCATAATTGATTAAGAAAATATGCGTGAATTAATAGTGCCAATAGAAAAAAATCCCTGTTTCATATCAAAGGGGCCGCTCGGGAGGGCCCTTGAAAGGGTTAAGAGACGGGCCCCGTTCTTTTTGCATAATAGTAATTATGTGTGCTTTTGTCACGTACGTACATTGATTGTTGTTACAATTATTTTTCTATGAAAACATAACTGATGATCAGCGCTTGCCTCATTATCTTGCCATAAAAAAAAAGAAGAAGAAGAAGCGAAACGTTTTATGTATGTATAAATATTGTAATTATATACACAAGTGTATCTCGCTGATTTTAATTAATCTACCTGTATACGCATCTTGTAAAAAATTGGTTGAGATTTAATTACGAACGCTACTCCACTTATAAAATAACCATAACGCTATCGAATAATGGGTGTGAATTCATTGATTAAGAACGTGAACGGTCATTGCGAGATTATATTATTATTTATTAATGTAAGTGTATGAAAAGAAGCCACGCGGAACGCTGATGACCTTCTCTCACAACATAAAGTAATAATAAAAAGTAAAAATAAAAAAAATAATAATTCTATTATGAATGTTTAATATCGACAAACATTGGTTTTCCATATTGTTTTTGTGATAAAATGATTTGGACGGTTTTTGATTTTGGAATTCGTGCTATATTTTAAGGAGACTCGCTCGCGATATTTATATAAATAGTTTGTGAAATTGCGACAAATCTTCATGTGCAGAAATAAATTGTTCAAATGTAAAATAAATCGGCCAGCATTTTATTTCAGTCACGATTGCCACCCTTACAATAATAATAAGATCGGAGTAGTCTCTGCTGCTACTTTTTGGAAAAGTCCATGCACTCGGAATTTGACTCAGAATCCAGCCGTCTCGACAAAGGAACGTAAGGGGGAGGCTGAGTCTTGTCTTGCCAAGAACTGCTGAGCACTGTCACCACGCGGAAATTATCATCTTGGCCATAATAAGGACCTTAATTAAAGATAATAAGAATAATTAAGTGGTAAAATCCCATTTATTTTATTTTATTGGGCTTACTATTTTGAGTTGAATTGCAGTAAAGACGAATTACTAGCGCTGTTAGGAAAACTATTAAAACGATGAGACCGCACAAAGCCCAGATCAGCGGATTGCTTGGATCATACATATCAACCTGCGAATTGATTTATTGACATTAAATTAATACAGTTAAAAGAGATGAACAACAAAATTTAGCATAGATTTATTTGGTAGATTCATTGTCAGACAAAGATTTTAATTCCATTTGACCAAACTGAACATCTTATACTCCACCCTTTTAATTTATTGGATAATTTATTTTTTAATTTTAAAATTGAAACAAAAGAAATAAATGTTCGAAATAGTTCAAACAAATAACGCGCAAAAACAATTGATTTATAACCAGATGATACTTGTTTTAGGCTAAATAAAGCAAATTAATTAAGCAGTATTCTGTTTTTTTTTTATAATATGTTCAAGTACCGGAAACAAACGTCATTTACATGATGATGTATTTAAATTTACCTTTCCAGCCACTTAGATGCAACGTCCGAATACGAAGAAATCCAAAGCCAGAATGTGACTCTCTGGGCAAATTCGTATATATCAGCTCGCCGGACAATTAGCACCCGCGGTAAACAGCCGTCATCGCTCTCAGCCTCTTTTCAATTAATTAGCGAGGTGGAAATTGCATTAGCAGCGCAGTCAGAAGCCGTTTAGGAAGTGGCAGTTGATTTTCACGTGGACACGACGGAGAGACGGAGCTGAGACGCATTCGCACTGTGCGAGCAACGTTTACCTAAAGCAACGGTCGAGACTCCTCTTGTCACGGTCATGGGTTGTTTTTTGCAATTGGCCACGTGCAGCCGCATTAGCACCTCGCTGAGCGACACGTTATTCTTATCACTTATATTCTTGTTTATTTTAAAAGCGCTCTTGGAGTTCTAAAAACGCTATTTCCGTCACGTATAAAGTACATCATATTAACCTTGGGTTTGCAATTTTTTTTATTCACATCTATGCAACCTGCTTGACACCACAGACGTTCAAATTGCCTATACCCTGTACTCAACCTTAATTGAAAAAATTATTTAAGTTTTAGTACATAAACTATACTAGAGCAGGAACTTAATGAATGAGATTACATTCATGCAAAAATGTTATTTTGCCAATATATGTGTGTAATTTTTGAGCTCGCGATTCCCTTCCTCAGCTCACTGTAAGCCCATTAAATAATAAACTTGAAAGAGTGAAATTAAACAAGAATTTAAACAGCCATTCAAAGAATGTTGCATGAGTTGCTGCTTTAGGCCAAATAGTCTATAAGAGGATATATCGGATATATCATCATTTTTTCAGATTTCCCCTTATCTTTAATGGAAATCAATAACCATATTAACGTGAGCGTCTTTCTACAATAATATAAAAAGTATTAATTTTTTTGCCATTGTTATATCTTGATTTTTAAAGTAAATTTTATTTTGGAGGTTAGACAAGCTTGGAGTTAATGGAGTTATTTGAAAAAATTCGATTGGGATTTATTTTACTATTATCGAAATTACTCTGAAAAGTTAACATCATTTATTTTTATTTAGACAAAAAGAATGTTTGGGTATTAAATAATTATACAGCCCAGTCCTTATGGAAAATCGCTGGTTTATACCACAATTGCAATCGTCAGCATATCATATTATATATCAACGATAATTCAGTTTCTTTATTTAAATTAATTGAGTAGTTAAGAACAAAATAATTTGTTGTACAAATTATGGATTAACTAGGTTTTTTATTATAATTATGAATCAAACTTAATTTCTTATGAAAACAGACGCAGACGCGAGAAAATGTAATAAGTCTATTACTTTATTTAATTTTGACGACGGCATCATATGGTGGAGGAAAATTATTCCCCGAAATGTTGTGATCCGTGACTTCATTATTTTGCGCGAGGTTAGGATAAAGCAGATTTGTTGCAGTTGACTGTGGAGGTGCGACATTTGTTTGCGGCTGCGTGTAGTTTATATATGGGCTCGTCTGGCTCCAGACGTTGTCACCCATCGGAGCCGATGGCAAGGGAATTGTCGTATTCGCTGGTCCTATAACTCTGCCAGCATTCGCGATCTTACTGCAATTTTAAAATATAGTTAACATCTCAGAATAATTTTATCCTTCTAAAAATTTATGTTAAAAAAATTATCTAAAAAAGCAAGGATACTTTATATATTAAAATAAGTCGTATAGTTTTTTTTTTAAATTACCAAATGAAATAATAATATCAGAAATACCTTCTCCTTCGCTTTCTTAAAACAACGAAAATGATGACGCCACCGATGCTAAGCACAATCAGAAGTACACCAACGGGCAATACGATGGCTAAAATCCACCATGCAACCGCTTCTTCAATAATTGTCGGCCATGTAGGTTCCATTCTGCGTATTTAAAAAAAGATTTTATTAAAATACAGAATAATAAAAATACGCTCAAATTCTATACACGCAGGCCTCCTGGAAGATGTCCCATACCATTCCATCTTGACATCTGCATATTAAGAAAATATCGTCGCATTTTAAATAATCAACTTTGCAGCACTCTTTGCTTTCTCGGCAAAAAAACAAGTAATCTACATTGCACACGATTAGAAAATTTAGTTCCTAGAGAGATTCAAGATTTTGTGCACCTTTGCAAAGCTCACAAACTCCATTTTCACCCTGGTACGACCCTTCACCGCATTCGTCGTCCAGTAGGTTTATTGTCTCATTATTCGAAAGGCCACTAACTTCTATTAAGTTTACTAAAAGGAAATTAATTAAATTTGTTTCATTATTAGTTGAAAGTAATTTTTATTTTCAACAGATAATATATGTATAAATTTTACTAGCCTTTGTAGGAGATAGCAAATTCTTGAGCAATCGCATTGCAAGTAAAAATCACCACAGCAGTCGTCAGCCAAATGAAGTGTCCCATGTTAATAATATTAGTAGATCTTTGATCCGCAAAGGAGAGGAACGAGTCGTAGTTATTTTGTATAAGTCCAGTCTTAAACTGCTGGTTCAGTGAATTTGGTGCGATTCGCTCTGCATGATACGGAAACCCCTTATCAATTATCGGAGAGGTGTGATTAGAGTGATGATGAAAGCAGATGCGTGTGCAGTGCAAAGCTCCCATATGCTTTATTATCAGATCACTCACTTGCGTCAGAGAGTGTGGTTTATTGTATATTTTTACGGAAGCATAATTTTTCGTAATTTGGCAATAATTATGGCTTTCAGAAATATTTCTTTATAGAATTTCATTCAAAACTTTCTTGTTACTCATACAAAGATTATTTATGCAGTGCAGAAATCATGGAAAATAATATTTAATTTGTTTATAACAATAATCAATTTTTGAAATTAAAAAAAAAAACAAGTATTTATAGCAGTCAAGATAGATCATTTTTGGTAATTTGAAGAAGATGTGACTGTAATTTTTTTTTCAAAGGAAAATCAAGTCTTATTATTCTAATTTCCAGTCCATTTTAATATTCAATAAATCTTACAAAACAAGTGAAGCCTCACCCTTAATAATAATAATACATTTAGAAGAAATTAATAAATTTGACATGAAATAAACGTGTAAAAAAGTTCATTATCCAGATTGTTATTTTAGTGACTTTTAAGACCTCGACGATTGACAAATATGAGAGTAATGATGAATACAAACAAAAATTGATTAAATCAAATCTTCCAATGAATCATGACGTAAACAGAAGCAAAACTGTGAAGCATGCTTTTCTCCTCTTTGATCTTCTTGTTCAAAGAAGGTTGATCTCTATCATTGCCTGCAAAGCAGTCCATGCCGAATTCCCCAAACCCTGTGCAGCCAGTTAAGGGCACATTTGGGAATAAACTTTGGTAAACTTTTATCTCTTTTGCAGTTTTCGTCCTGCCAACGCAGCTGAACATCAGGCAAATGGTGTTTTTGTCAGGAAAGTTGCTTGCCTTGAGCTGGAAAACAAAGAAACAAATGATTTTAATATACTTTTAATAAACAATTTTTTTATACCTTTTCCAAACTCTCCTTGATGTCTTTGTTTGATTGTGTTTTCACAACGACCGAGGCTGCCTCAACATTGTCCCCGGTTATCACAATTCCACAAGCTGACAAAGTCCTGTAGCTTTGAGCCACTCCGTAATCAGCGTACATGGAGTTTTCGTCCGAGGCAAAATAGCCACCAAATGCAAAGGGCTCTTCTTGCCTGTTCCGAACAACAATTTATTAAATCAAAAATTTTGTTAATCATTTTACAACCTTTTGGCCAAATCCGAGTAAAACTCAGCAGCTCGCTCAGGGCTTTCAAATGCAACAACCACAGCACACTTGACCTTTTCACTTTGTGGAATTATTTCAGCAATACTTCCAGAATCCAGCTGCATTCAAAACAAATCAGTCGGGCAAATTTTAGAAAGAAATTTTACCTTTTCGTTTTGAAATCTGTACTCTGCCGATGGATCAGTTGTTCCATGGAATGTGTAAATTTCCACTCCTGGCACAGGTGGAAGCAGAAAGCTGCTCAACCTAGCTTTGAATTTGCAGCGAGCGTTGTTCGGAATGAACTGGAAGCTCAACAACTGCGAATTATTAAAATCAAATAATTAGTCAACTTATCGTAATTAAAACTGCTAACGTACAGCATCAGCGGTGCCATCCAATTTGGTACCGACGATCCCATCTGCCGGCACGCAAAAATTCCTGCACGACGGTGACATGAATTTCCTCAGTCCCGGAAGATCTGAAGTAATGATTTTCAGTTTTAAATGAAAAATAAAATTGAAAAAAATACCTAGTTGCTGAAAGCATTTTTCTGCCACAAATGAGAAGCACACTGTGGACTGATAGCCAATGCAGTCTTCGTAGCAGTGTTTAATTGCGTCAGTCGTGACCACCTCCTAAAATGAAAAAGGAAAATTTCAATCACAATTCACAAAAAATACTAAAAAATTTGCCTTCATCGGGTTGGTCTCAACATCACATATTACGGCCATGGGTCTGCTTTGTTTTGCCACGAGGGACTTTGCCACTTTGCTCCACGATTTGCACACCCTGGCCACTCGGCACAGTTCGGCTGGTTTCAAGTTCACGAGGCACTTCTCAATAATCTCGTAGTGCGTTCCCAAAAGCAGACCAAACGTTTTCAAGACGACCGGGTCCACACTTTCAGTCTTTAAAAAAAGCAGAGTGAAAATATTTTCAATACACTTTAAATTTCCATTACATAATAAACCAACACAAATAAACTTTTCATAACAATTAATTATAAAATAATTTTTCAACCAACTTGGCAACTTACCATTTTTCTTTTTGTTGAGAAGAAGTTTTCACATAATTATTCCAGCAGCCGATTAATTTAGAGTTTCACTACAAAGAGATCAATTTCAAAAATTTGATAGAGAACTGATTTTTCTACCTTCGTGTCGTGTTTTTTGTTTACGTTTTTGTTTATAACGTTTTGTGAGTTCCTAGTAGTTTGCGAGTTGAACACTAGGTGGCAATCTATACGACTTAATTACATTCAACTGAAAAAGCTGAAAAGTTCGAAAAGTTTAATTCTTTTTTATTTTGATTGCAGTTTGCGAATTTTCGGAGCATCATTAATTTATTATATAATTTTGTTTCTCTTTGATATATTATAATAAGTTTAAAAAAAGCATGTATAGTGTAGAGAAAACTTTGTGAAATAGAAAAATAGAATTCTTGCTAGTACTTTAAATATCCAAGAGATGGCATTTTGGTTAATGAATGCCACTGTTATTGTGAGAGGAACCCCAATAAAAAAAAAAAATTATGTTCATAATTATCTTCCAATAAACGGCATTGACAGTAATAAGAAAGAAAAATACAAAAATTATGCGCGTCTTTTCGAATGTGAGGATTTTGGTTGGCGGACGGATTTTGTTGCGGTGGCCCGAGGTTGGCATCGCACCTTCTTGGCACGGGACGGAGGCTCGTCATCCCGTTTTCCCCTCCCCCTCCCCCCTCCCGCATGATCTGGAAGGTTGTCGAGTGTGTTTTCGTTCGTTCGTAGCATGGGCGCGAGTTGTTGTTGATGTTGTTTCGTTTTTCCTCTCGTCAGTTCACTTGTCTCACGAGGCGGCGGACGACGATGTGAAAGGGTCGTCGACGCACAAGCACCGACTTTCAGTTTTTTTCGCAAACCCGCCCCGGCCCCAACAACAACGATGAGGACCACCCTGGCTGTCAGGAACATCGGCAAAATGCTCGACTTTTACTCGCAGTTCAACCCGTCGCCCCTCTCGACCAAGCAATTCATTGACTTTGGTGAGTCCCGCACGTATGCACTTCTCACCCCATTCCTGAGAGATGCGTTTCATGGCTCCGAATAAATATTTCGCCTAAAACGGGATGAAAGTCACGGTGTTTGGGGTCTCAGGGGTCAACGAACTCTCGGGGAAACGGCAGATATTGATTTTAATTTAGGGGATGATTTTTTTCATTTTTAAAGATAGATCAGATGAAAGTAAAAGAATTATGATTTTCTGAGGAAATGAAATTAATAAAAAAAAACTTAATGAACTTAATGAAGTCCTTTCCTTTTTCAGTATTTCTCATTTCTTTCTAAAAATTAATTTGCGTTGAAAAAAATATCCGTGTCAAATTTAATATAAATTTCAAGCATTTTTTTTTATAAATGTGTATTCAAACCTCTTAAATTTCACGGAATAATTATAATAAGTCGATTTAAAATGATTAACAATTGATGAGTATTTTAACAAGCAATACAAGAAGAATATAATTTTGTATATACAAATTTAAATTCATGTTAAATTTAAACTAAATCAGCAGTTCATCATTGCGATATTTGACGAGGGCCATTTGCAGCTTGAAAGTAAAGCACTTTTGCAAAATCGTCTTTGAGCATGTGCCAGACTTTGTCGATCTGTTCTCGAGATGAACTTGAATACAATAAAATTCTGGGAGATTCGCATCCTTGGCAGCCTCCCTGAAGTGTCAGTGCCCAATTATAAGTTGACAACTGCAACTTCATGTTTTAATTGTGAAATTCTCACTTTTGAATTAAGTAGCTCTGCGAATAAAAATGTGCAAAATGGCAAATTGAAATGATTAGGAAATGCAGTTTCTATTGTCCCTATTTTTCTCTAATTAGAAATAATTAAAATTGAAACAATTTTCAACCTCGAATTAAGTATGTGAAAAATTTTAATGAATAAATTTTACCTAAATCATTGATAATGAAAATATTTTTTTAATAAATTTGGAGATAGTGTTTGTATAATTTAAAGTCGGCTTTTCCCGACGAGTTTTGAGAAGTAAAAAAAATATAATATCCTGCTCTACATGTTTCGTCTGCAGCCATAATTCATGAATCATACGCTGTGAAATTTTTTTGACAAAAATGAGAGGTTAAATTAATTTCATAAAAGCGTTTTCCTGAAATAATCCATTTTTTCAAAAATTCTTTTCAGTTACAATTTAACCGAAACATTTAGAGCAGATTTAGAGCCGGATATCTTTTTTTTTAACAATTAACTCACAAAACCCATCAAGGAAAAGCTGACTTTAAATTCAAATCACCGAATCAACCCTCGATCGTGAACTTCTACTACAAAATTTCAGATGTTTGCAAGAGTTGAAAGTTGCAATGAGGGTAGATTTTTTGTTCAATTTCAGATATGAACTGCGTAGCGAATTTCCAAAGCCTCTGCTTTCCTCTCTTTGCACGAACTTGCTAATACCAGCTGGCGAAAGCTTCAGGAAAGTGCTAATTGCAAAAGCACCCACGCAGCAAAACGTGCACTTGATTGAATGGTCAAACAGAAATGTCACGAGAAGACAAAGTTAGAATTCATATTGATGGCGCCGAGTTGGGGTTTTTCCGATTGTTATTTTCGATTAAATTTGCAAGGAATTATTCATTCGTGCGTGTTCAAAGGCCGCAGTGCCAGATGCTCGAATTGATTGCGAGATCGATATTGAGAGCCTCTTTTCCGCACCCATTTTCCGTGAGACTTGGAACTCGCTCTTGTTCCGAACAACATTAGGAAGTAATCGTGTCGCGAAAATTGATAATTGCGTGGATACGGCGAGGTTGAATCAAGGGCGAATGGCAGCGAGATAATGACGCTCAAAATGTAGAATGGCAAACAGATTATCTTACATTTTATTTTTAATGATGAATAATTTTAGCTAAATGTGGGATTTCAATAATTTTTATTAATAAAAAAATTTAAAAATTCATAAAAAATTGATTAGAAAAATAATTGACAAATGTTATAACATTTACTAAAATTGTGCACAAAATTAGTTTAAAATTGTATATCCGAGTAAACTTGAAAACTTTATTCCGAGTTTGCTGAACTTGTATGAATGGAAAATCTCAGAAATTCCTGTAATGTTTACTCGCAAGCGGTGCCAAGAAAAAATTGTCCGAATGACGCATGTCGCCGCCGCTTCTAAACCGCCATAAAATTATTTTCAGTCTCAATCTGCCGTGACGCAAGTGCACACCGCATTAATTTTTACTTTTTCATTTTAATCAACCCACATTGAATATTTCACAGATACATTTTCCTGTGGTCAATTTCATTTCGAGCCGAAAGTCGCATGCGGAAACGAATGAAATTGAGTAAAAAAGAGCAGATAATGGTCGATTCTTCGAGGAAGTCGCGCCGGCTGTTTTGAGGTCACTCTAAGGTCGTGAAAGAGCCAAGCTTTGCCTCCATTATTCCATTGGTGGGCTCAAGAAAGGTGTGTTTCCGTGACGTCACTCGCCGCTTGTACCTTTCGTTTTCAGGTCGTGTTTGATTCATTATTTTTCTAAAAAAAAAAAAAAAATGCTTACTATGAGAAAAACATTTATTGTTTTGATGAAATCGCTGAGCAACGAGAGATAATGAAATTGCGGCGTGACTCATGCGGAAAAAATATTAAGTGCGTCTTGGAATGAATTGTAAAAAGCTTTTGAACTTTGATCTTTTTATAATTGCTGGTTTTAATTTATAAATTTGATCGCTTCAATTGCGTCTGCTTCTCAACCGATTGGAAACAATTGAACGTTGGACGCTTTTAATTTTACTTCTTTGTTGAAACTTATTGCAATTGAATAACATGAAACATGATGCAGATAATTAGAAGGCAGATAATTTGATGCTGGTGATAAGAATGTTAAAATAAAATTGAAGACAGGCGAAATAAATTGGTCTTGTTTTCAAAATTCAAATTGAGAAATAAGTGGAAATGAAGCGATCGGGCTTTTTCTGCAACGAGGAAAAGCCCGATCGCTTCATTTCCATGATCATCTCCTCGAGTGTCAACTTCTTCAAACAAATGAGAAATAAGTGAAATTAAATTTGCTATTGTTAATTAAAATTATAAATAAATAAATATAAAGAAAATTTTACCAATTCTTTTATCTAATAATTGGTGTAAATTTGTTTGTGATTGTTTAAAAATTAGCTCATGCCTGTCCTGTTCATGTATTACGATTTATCTGAGACGCAATAGACAAAGTGAAAGTGAGAGTCCAGCGCCCTTGTTAATTCTTTTACAACTTTGCTGCAAGCATGAAAATCAGCTGAGAGTGCCACGAACATAGCCATTAATTTTGCCATGCAACCGCATAATGTTGTACTCGTTATATAAATTCCAGTTGAAACCGGCGCGAACCAAACTCACGCGACTTAATTAAAACGACCCTGGTACAAATTCATTGTAAACAACGTGTCTTTTTTAACAAGAATCAGGTCGGTTCTCGGAAATTACGGAAAAGCCCGTGGGCGGAAAATCGATTTTCGGGTTGGTCAATTTGTTGGCAGCTTTAAATTGTATTTCCCCAAAGAGCGCCGGTTGAGGCATCATCAGTGATAAAGCGAGAGCGCCAAAAGTGGGTCACGTCATGTGTGTGCATTGCATTAGCTATTCAGGCGTCTGTGTTTTGTTTGGGCACAAAATGCTGCTGCTGAATAAACGCGGCTTTATTGACTGAACCCGCCTGACGATCGACGCGATTTTACTGAAAATGTGCAATAAATTAATTTGAAATGACTCAAATATTTCATCTTTTTGTATCACAAACCATAAAAAAGCCAGTAATGTTGCCCAATTTTCCGTATTTTATTTTCATTTTTTTCCTTTTAGAGACAAAAGAAGATAAAATTTTTAGTCGTTTAAAATTAGTTTCTTAATTAAAAGTAAAACATTGGTATGTAAAGCCAAGTTTTTCTTGCAAAACCACGTAAAAACCTCTTAAAAATGAAACCCTAAAACTGCTTTTTGAATAAATAAAACCTTTTTAATTTTAATTAATAATTTTTACTTGAAATTTAGCAAAATTACAAACCGTTGAACTCTTTTAAAGCCAAGGCTGAAATTTTGTTGGCTCCGAAGTTGAATTGAATTCGGCGCTGCCAAAAGGAAGTGTTGCAGCGCCGGAAAACAAACAAACGCGCACTGGCGTCTGCCCAAGCAGTCTGAAAAATCCAAACAAAAGTCACAGACCGGCGCTTTTTCTGGCTCATAACATACCTGGCCAAAATAACCGCCGCGTCTATTTCTGGCTCGGACGTGTAAAAATAAAATTTCGCTAAAAGTTGATTAATTTCCACATTTTTTCTTACAAACTTTTCCGCACCTGTTGCCTACGATCACGTGGCTTTTGCAAAATGGAAAAAAAGCGTTTTATTGCCTGTGCGACAGAATCGCGCCGCTGAAAATGGGGCAAGGCAATGAACCGGCGCGTGTTGAGCGGAGATAAAGCGCGCTGGCTGCGTCAGACTTTATTGGAATTCATCTTGTGCTGTAGCCGAGTGTCCTGCTCGCCAATTGATAAGACCTTGCGAGGGGACATTTTTTGCGACGCCACGCGTTTTCCGGAAATATCTGATGCCATTGACGGCGGCCAACTTTTGATCAGTGAAAGTTCGATTATTATCTTATCAGCTGTCATAATTAATACGCCTTGAATTGTGAGCTTACGTAATAATGTTAATTGTATTTAGTTTTAAAAAAATGCTTTCAATTATAGGAATTAGTAGATTTAACCCAAAAAAAACATACTCCTAATGAATCTTAATTATTAAAATCAATTAATCTAGCTATTTTTTCTGCTACTGTGATTTTTCATCTGTTTTAAACGCAATTTAAAATAATTTGAATCAATTTAATTTTGATTTAGTACGAATAAGTAAATTACATAAATACTTGAGCTATGAATGAAGCAATACAAAAAATTTAAACTTGTCACCAATTAATAAGTAAAAGCTTCTGCTATTTACACCCACTGCAGCCTTTTCTTTCTTGTGTTGATTGCAAATAGAGCGATCGAGCTCTCTCAGCCAACTTTCCGCTATTGCAAATATGCACTTGTTGTGCAACTCCCTTGATGCAAATTGTGCTCAATGCTCTGGCATGAAAGACTTGTGTGCTCAAGTCTCGTCCTTGCCAAGCAAGCAAATGGTCCTTTGAGATAAATCTCTCTGCCACTTTGTCGCTTGACACGCTCCGAGGTGGCTTGGCACTGGCCCTAATCACACGATGCCAATTAAATTAAATTTCAATTAATCCAACTCTGAATAATGAATCAATTTCTAAATATTTTGAAATTAAATCTAACAGTGAGAATTATTAGTGTTTGGATTTTCCACGATATGGGTATTTTTAGTAGTTTCAAGGAAAATAATATTCTGCTCTTCCTGTTTTGGCTTCGGGCTGCAGCCATAATTCATAAGTTGGTTAATCATTTTGATTAGGTTCAGTACAAAAATTAATTGTTTTCATCAAATCAACATTTTTTCAACCAGATTTTCAAACCACACAATTTTTAGCATTAAAAAGTTTTTAAGGAATTTTTATGAATATTATTTTAGTAAAGGCAAAGCTGATTTTAAATTCAAAACACCATGAATCATCCCACGATCGTATTATTCTTTAACAAAACATTATATTTTTTTTTATTTTTTTTTTTCTAGAGTTTTGAAAAATGAATTCAATTGACACCCTATAGCGGGTGTCAATTTTTCTAGCAAGAAACAGGGCACTCGAAAGGCTTCTCCTAAGCCATAATTCCAATCTGTTATCGCAGAAGAGCACGTAGACCAGTTTAAGAGACACGTAATCTCGCGTTCTTCGTAATAAAATGTGTACACAAACAACTTGTTTCATATGGAATAAGCAGTCGACGGCTTCTTCGTCATCTAAAAGAGGAGGAGGATTATTGATAATTCTGTCAATGTTGTTTGGTACGCGCAGAGTTCACTTTAATCGCGCGTCCTTGGTCTGTGTATTTAATTAATTCGCATGCGTGTGCGAGTTGTGCGTCGGCTGCTTGTGCAGAAGAGTCGAGGAGGAACGAGAGAGAGAAATTATGACCAAGGCCATCGACTCGCACAGTCACTTGCATGTGGGGCCCTATTAATTCCGCGTGCTAACGACGGACAGTATATAACAGGCTTTATGAGCCAACGCAAAAGTGCAAGTGTAGAAAGAAGTCGTTGAACTCGTTTGCAATGCAAGATGCACTCTTATGTACAAAAATTTAATTCAAATTTTTGCGACTGTGGAAAATAAATCGGGAAGCGAAATTCTATCCGTGGCTGGGCGAAATTTGCAACTTGATCCCCTTGTCAAGCCACAGTTTTGCAAAACGCCCTACAAGGTTAGCTAATTTGCATTTTTTTTTTGAGCTAATACGATTTTATATATTTTAATCTTTTAATTAATAATCTTTGGCAGGGAAAGTAATGAATTACTTTTGTTATTAAAAAATTTTTAATTTTAATAACAGGAACTATTGTAAAAATAAAATAAAAGGATAAAAAGACGATCTCTTAAAAATCTGAAATTAGTTTTTTTTTTTTTTTATTAAACCCAGAAAACTAAATTAAAATTTATAAAGGAAGTTAATTGTTAAATATTTTATTCATATTAGTTAATATAAACACAATTATCAATAAATATGAATAAAATAACTTCTTTTACATTTTATTTTAATTTTTCTGGGCTTTACAATTTATTTATATAATTATAATTAATACAATAAATGATCAATTTTTATCAACTTTGATTTTAGGACAAAATGCTTGCGAGCGCACGTCATACATATTCCTGCGCAAGGAACTGCCGGTCCGGCTGGCCAACATTATGAAGGAAATCCACCTGCTGCCGGAAAATCTGCTGAGGATGCCGTCGGCCACCCTTGTCAACCAGTGGTACGCTCAGAGCTTCAAGGACCTGCTGAAGTTTGAACAATCGGACGCTTCAGACAAGACGCTGACCCAGTAAATTTAAACATTTAGCTGTAAAAATCTTTCATTAAAACTTACTTTTTCTCTGAAAGGTTTTGCGAGGCGCTAGTCATGATTCGCAACCGCCACTCAGACACTGTGCAGACCATGGCGCAGGGAGTGCTCGAGCTGAAGGAGTCGCACCCCGTGGACCAACAGACTGAAAACAGCATCCAGTACTTCTTGGACCGTCTCTACATGTCCCGCATCAGCATTCGAATGCTCATCAACCAGCACAGTAAGCAATAAAAAATTTAAAAAAAAATAAATCTCATCACAAGAAGAAAAATAAAATGAAAAGTACAAAAAAAAAAATTATTTTATGATTTTATGTGCCAGTCACTATTTTTTATTATATATTTATCCTTAAATTTTTTCAGCAATGCTGTTTGGAACCGAGTTGAATGTGGTCAGCAATAGCCGTCATGTGGGCAGCATCGATCCCAACTGTGATGTGGTTGGCGTCGTCAGGGACGCTTACGAGAATGCTCGTTTTCTCTGCGACCAATACTACCTGGCCTCGCCAGAGCTAGAACTTCATGAGTACAATGGTGAGGTTTTTAAATTGAGCATAAACATAATTTATTCTAAAAATTGTAAATTATTTCAGGGTTGGAGGCTAACGCACCCATCCAAGTGGTCTATGTGCCATCCCATTTGTACCACATGCTGTTCGAGTTGTTCAAGAACTCGATGCGCGCCGTCATGGAATTCCACGGAGAAAAAGAAAAGGTTCCTCCTGTTGTTGCACATGTTGTGGCGGCAAGCGAAGACGTTTGCATTAAGGTAGTGAATAATAATGTTAAAATGGAATGAAACAATAATTATATTACTTTAAAATTTAATTTTACACTTTTTAATATATGTAATTAAATTATTGTTTTTTTTTTAAATAATTATAAAAAAATTTAAATAGAATTTCATAAAATTAACATGGATAGTTTTTTTTAAATTTATACTCAAAATCGTAATAAATTTTTTTTATTTTTTTTTATTAAAAGACAATAAAATAATTGTTTTAACAAATTAAGTAACAAAAATTTTTAGGTGAAGAAATGATGTGAATCCAATTAGAATAATTGAACTTCATGCACTATTTTTCCTTGAAATTTTAGCTAATTTTTATTTCTGAAATGAAAAAAAAATTGTATGGCACATTTTGAATGAAATTTTTATTATTTTCTTAATCCATAGGTCTCAGACCGTGGCGGAGGCATTCCTCGCAGCCAGACCGACTTGCTGTTCAACTACATGTACTCGACAGCCCCTCAACCTTCAAAGAGTGCTTCACCCACTGTTCCTCTGGCTGGCTACGGTTACGGCCTGCCCCTTTCTCGTCTGTACGCCCGTTATTTGCAGGGTGATCTTGTTCTTCAGTCTTGCGAAGGTCTCGGTACTGATGCCGTCGTCTATCTTAAGGTGAACAAAGAATATTATGAAGAAAGAATCAAAATTTAAATTGCTTCTGCATCAATTTTTCTTACTAAAAATGAATTCGTGTGTTGTAGGCTCTCTCAAGTGAAGCCAATGAGCTTCTCCCAGTCTTCAACAAGACTTCAAGTCGTTTTTACCGCACCTCGATCCCAACTGGTGATTGGAGCAACCATGTCCGCCACTTGACAACTGGCACCCAGCCGAGAATCAGGCAGCCCCAAGCAGCACCTTCAGGCCCAGAGCTGACCAAGCAAAGCGCCTCGTGTTAATCTTTGGTGTTTCCTCTGACCCCATAGCAATCCAAATTGGTGTTTAGTGTCTATGGCTATGTTGGGGTCTCATTACCAACATTATTTTAGAGCTTTTTCTCTCTAAGTTGTGATCTATCAAAGTTAATTTTAATCTTTCTTTTTTTTTACAAATTATATTTTGATTTAAATTTTACAACGAGGAATTATTTTATGGTGTTTTAGTTGAAATTTGGCTTTTCCTTGATTGGTCGTTTGAGTCTGGAGGACGACGATATTGTTTGTTTTTTATGCTAAGCAATTGAAACCACACATCAAGGAAAAGCGGAATTTTGATTTGAACATCATAAATCAACCCTCGATCAAGGAATTCTTCTACAGAATTATTTTATCGCGAGCTCTAGTGAGTTAAAGCTTTTTTTAAGTCGCAAAACAGATTTAGTCTAGTCTAACGCAGGTAGCGACTTATGAATTCATATGAATTGGCAAATAATAAAAAATCAAAACTTTGATAGAATCAGTGTGGAAAAGAAACTGGCCACGTTTTGGTGGAGTATTAACGACCACAAGAAGCAAAGAGTTGTAATTAATTTCTAACTTCTAATTCTAATTGAAATATTAAAAAAAATTATTAAAGCACACAAAAAGTGAAAAATAATTTCCAATTAATTGCATGTAAAAGGCTGTGATGTTAAAATTAATTTTGTTTGGGATTTCTTCAATACGACAAATCTATCAGCTCAAAGAACACAGTGGAGCATCAATGAGGCATACTTGTTTCAGTGTTTATGATCACGAAAATTGATAATTATGCTGAATCTGTTGTAATCCATTATTTTAAAACTTTAGTTGTTTAGGGAAGACTATTGATGTTTCCAGTTGGTTTGCATTATATGTTGCTCTTTGTACTGCCAAGCCATGGATTGTTTTCAGACACAATGCGAAAATTGAAGCTTGACATTTTATTTGATAATTTTTGGTGAGAAATTTATATTTTGAGAATATGTCTAGACTGCTCACTATCTTAAACTATAAGTTACTATGATAGTTTTTTGTTTCCTTTAACAACAGATGAAATTCAGTATCAATAAAAACCTATATAGTAATTAAATTGCTTTTCATTTGATTAAAAAAATCAAATCACCTAAATATTTTATGTATTTTTTATTTCATTAAAAATTTATTGCTAGCGCTTGATAAAATTTATTATGTATTAACAATAATTAGAGCACGAATTTGTCAGCACTCCAAGAGTGTTGTTCAGCCTTGAAATGTGTCATTTTTTTGGAATGTGAAAATAGCAGATCAACAAAAATATATTATTAATTAACAAAGCACCTCGGTGAATCACTTGGTTGTGTCCTCGACCAGTTTTAGCTCCCGTTGCATTTGCCGGTCCTTATCTAGTTCCTTTTGAAGGGCTTGTTTTTGGCAATGCTCCTGTAGTCGATTGGCTCGTTTCTGCAATAACAAATTTTTTGATTCAATAGAATGAGGCCAAGAGCAGTTTTATCAGTTTGCAAACCTTCAGCTTGGTTGACTTTTCATGCAGCATTGCCATGTCTTTTTTGATGCTCACCAACTTGGCATGGTAAACTTTAACTTTCGCAAACTGAAATAGGCAAATTAGTTAAAATATATTTTCACTGCCGCTGTTCTTTTGAGTTTAATTTGCTTACAGTTTCTTGCAAATTATATTCGCTTTGACCGAGTTCCAATCTTTCATTCTCGCATTGAAGCTGCTCGATTAACAAGTGCTGTTTGGTGCTGAAAATCCAGGATCAATTTGAAAATGACATATTTATTTTCAGTATTTGCAAATAAGTAACCTGGCCTCTGCAAGCTGCTGCCTGACCTTTGTCAAAGAAGGTTCATAAATGTTGAGCACAGCCGTTCCAAGAGCTGCAGCCTCGTCATCATCCAAAAGTCCGTGACTAAAAAATTGACAATGTAAAAAAATTTCAAAAACACTATTGAATTTTTCAAACCTTTTTCTCGCAGCGTTTTCCTCTTCCTTCAGCTCAAGATCCGTCAAGTTTCCTGATTTCGCAGACATTCTACATTCTTATATCAATTTTTAAGATATGATAGCAGACGGATGAAATTTAAAATTGCAGTAAAACCCTACAGAATTTTTGGAGACTAGTTAGTGATCTTATTGATGACTAAGTCCACTTCTCCGAATCCAAATGTCATAAAAAATATTATTGTTGTCAGTTTTGTCTACTCTCGTCATGTGATTTGGGGCAAAGGGGCGGGGCTGCACCAAAATATTCAACCCAGCACCGCGAAAATTTCGATGATAAAAATACGCCTGGAGGATAAATTTTTGAAATTATGCAAAACCACATAATTATCAATAATTATTTAATTCACATCAAGATTTATTCTCATTTTGATTGATTTTGATAAAAAGAAACTTTGAAAAGTTCAATTTCCCTGTAAATGTGAAACAAACAGTAACAAATTATTAAAACTGACTAGAATTTATCACAAAACTCTTATACCATAAAAATAGAGTAAAAAAATCAAATTAAAATAGTGGATTACTTTCGTTCAAATAATTGACTTTAAATGAAACGTACAGTCCTTTTTATTATTTTTATTTAGCTTCGAATTTCTGCTCCATTAGATTAGTAGAATTCTATGTTTTTGGGGGCCAATATTTAAATATTCTAATGATTTTATTGGTGTAATCATTTTGAAAAAGGCCTAGCAAAATAAAATATTAACCAAGAAATAAATTTATCATTTACAATTGTCCAATCCGCAGCGGCAAATTGTTTTTTCAAAATTCTAGTCTTTTGGCTTATTATTTATAAAGAAAGCCGTGAAAATCAATATATTATGAATTTATTCGTGTTAATTGTTTATCACTTGCATTGTGAAAAATGCGCCTAGCAAAATAAAATATCAAAAAATGAGAGGGCTACACAGCCTATATATTAAATTTAAAATTAATTCATTATTTTCAACTTGTAGGAATAAAAAAGGTGTTTTTTTTTCTTAATGTGGAGAAGTCACATCAATAGCAGTTCTGCATAAAACGTACAAAACAGTAAATAATTTATATTAATAAAAAATTAAATTTTTACGTAGATCGGCCGTGACCCTAAATTGGAAGAGATTGTCTTGCTTTAAATAAAAATCAAGAAAATTCACTTCCCCAAATCCTTTTACATCTCATGAACGTTTTCCTGATAATCCGCTTCAATTATATTCTCTCGAATATTTTGACCGGCAATAGTAAATAATTTCCTCATGCAAGTTATACAATTAAATTGACAGAAAATTGGACATTGAATTTTTTATAGGGAAATGAGAAGAGTGCAATGAATACATTGGTATTTTTTTTTGTAGGATAATATATTTATTTAAGTTTCATCTGCTATTCCATGCTATACAGTTCCATAATTCAATATTATTACAATCCATAGAGTATGTTGTTGTGTAATCAAACAATGGTTTGTAGCATGTTTGCACTCGTTTATCATAAATAAATTTTACTTTATATTTTCCATAAACATGATTTTAGCAAGATTTATGGTGCATGTTCTGCCTGCGATTCCCTGTCACGTTTTTGAATGATCTACTATCTAAATGAAATCTGAAGTTTATTTTTTCCTTGGTATATCATGTTAATTCTTAATGCAAGCCAATGTACCTTTTAAATTAATTAATTAATTTTACACATGCTACAATATGAAAATCCAATTCGGTCAGAATAATTATTTGAAATTAAAATATGCTACGCCAATCAGGAGCAAACAAAACCAAAAAAATCAAAGTCGCTTTCGCTCGAGCTGAACCAAACAGTACAATGCAATCAAAAACACAATTTCTTCTCTTGTGTACATAAAAAAAAATGATGATTAATAATCACTACAGTAATATGTCACATGGTGAATAGTTTGAAACTAAAATATAGAGATATAATCAATATTCATTTCCAACTGCGGTTAAATGTTTGCTAATTGAATACACGACGGATAATAATATAAAGAACACACATAACATCCTGATGATTAGCATGAAAATAATCAATCGATTAATACGCTTCCTCGGAAGCAAAGTTAATGATTATCAAATCAATGTAGCAGTAAATTGATGAGTGCGATTTGTAATGTACAAAGAGAACGTTATGCACACATTATCAACTGAAGCCAAATTAGAAATAAATTTTGCTAAAACGACAAGTGTGTACATCTCTCTACAGATTTGTGGAAGAACTAGAGGTCAAAAGGTGATCATCCTTACAATTTTAAATTTAACTGTCCTAAGATTTTCCCACTTCAGGTGAATATTTTGCAGGGCGGCCGACTGTTGTTGTTAAAGCTTGCGAGACAAGAAATGAAGAACTCCCAATTCCAGTTGTACATTATACACAAGTCGGCAGAGGAGCTGCGACCTTGATAGGTTTTGAAGATATATAAGCACGGCCACCCTTCGCAGGAAAATCGTGTTATCACGGCTGCCTATTATCCAGCGGAAGTTAACACAATGTGCGCAGACTTCCGAGGCAAAATCACTATTTATGATCGATAAAATTAACAATTAGATTTATATATATCAGGGCCAGACGACAGCTGGCGTATCACGAGAGATAAATTGAACCTCACATCACAAGTAATTATTCTTTACATCCATTGATTTTTAACGCCTACATACTTACAAGTGGTCAAACTGTACTAGACAATAGTATTTTACAGAGACGCGATCATCAAAAAAATCAATATTAAATTCGCGTTAAATCAAAATCAACATCTTCGGGTCGAGCGATCGACGTTCAATCAGCTCAGAGTGAATGAAACTCAACTGAAAATCAGGTTGTCGCAATAATTTGACAAACAAGAAGTCCACCAGATTGAGGAGAGTGTAATTGCAAGTGTGTACCACATTGTAGCATTTCGACCGTTTGCTTTCTGAGAGAGGGCTCAATTTGAAAGTTCCATCATGCTGGTATCACAGATAATAAAAAAACAAAGTTCTCGGCCGGGTCTACTTGCGGGGCGAGAATTTTGGGTTGGTCGGCCCGCTGATGAAGGAACGCAACTCGTGCGCGGACGAGTCGCCCTCCTCTTCGGAGTGGGCCGTGGCGGTGTCTTGGTCGGATTTGCGGAAAATAATCATTCGTACGTCGGAGTGCAAGAATACGCGGCCCGACTTGGAGCTTGAGAACCTGGAATTCCAATTTAATCATGAAAAAGTGTAACATTCCAGCTTTTAGAACGAACCTGAGATGAATGAGGTAGCGGAGGTTTGAGTGCTGCATCTGTCCATTGCCATTCTCCTGGCTTGGGAGGTACAGTGTGCGCTGTCTGAGGAACGTCTGTGAGCAGGGCGGCATGTCTGAGAGGTCGTAAGCCACCACAAACATTTTCACTACAGTGCCCAGCGGATTGAACAAGGTCACTTGGATGGTGCCACTTCTTGGCACGCTGTATCCTTTCTTGCCCAGGTTTATGTGGCCCTGTCGACAGCATATCTTCAGAATTGTTTCAATTTATTTTATAATTTTCTAATTACCAGGTATGGAGTTGAAACCTTGTCGTTATCCCCGAGGGTGTAGAAAAATACAGTGACAGGCAGATTGAGGTGTTTGGGACAGAAGGAGCCGGATGCTCCGAGTTCTGCAGTGAACCCGTGGACGGTGCTGACCGGTTCGAGCCGGCCGTTTAGGACAGACTCCTCGAAAGAGCCAAGCAGGGAACCTGAGGTTGGAGACCAGGACAGTTTTGGGTGGTGCCGGGTGGCAAACGGAGATGGCGGGTTTTCCACATCTGGCGAGGCAGTGCAGCTGTCCTCGTCGGTGCAAGCGGGACTTGACAGCGATTGACTATCGAACAGAGCACTGCAGAGGGCATTTGAAATCAATTAATGTATTCAACAATTTTTGTCAATCATTTACCTTCTGATGGCTTGAACTGAGTTAAGTGAGCTGTCAAAGTCGAAGCAGGTCCCTTTGCGAACGGGGGCAGGACTTGAGGTGAGCGGCAGTCCAGATCGGAAAACCATAGATGCGGCTGAATCGAGAGATCGTCTGAACTGGGCTTTGTCCATGGCTGATGGGATTTTGACTCCGTTCGGAATCTGCAAAATTTAAAGAAATTAGTCTTGAATTTATGAGTTGCTGACATTTACTACCTCTCCACCGTTGGCAGTTTCCTTTCCAGAAACAGAAACTGTTTTGTTGAAAAGGTGTTTCAGCCTCTCCAGCCCAGTGGGTTTTCCTTGAGCATCGGCCAAAGCAATGTTGCCCTCCTGGCTTGGTCTCAAAATTGCCTGGAGAAGTTTGTCCGCTTTGTCGACCATTCCATTGCAGGCTGCTTCCTTGGCGTTCTCCAGAGAGTGTTTGTGTCTCGCACCCTTTTCGAGGAAAGACTTTGGCAGTGTAGGTCCCTTTGCCATGGCCATGTTGACTGTCAACATTGGCTCACCGAGTTGGTCCTTTAGAGGAGGTGTTGCTGGTCGAGTTCGATACCTCAGCACAGCCAGCACTTCTTCCACTTCCTGAGGGCTCAGATTCAGCTTGCTGGCAGCTTTGGGAGCCGCTTTTTGGCCTTCAGCAGTCTGCTCCTTACTGGCTTGCTTCTCCACTTCTTGAGATTTTGATGTGCTCTCTTCCTTTTTAGGAGCCCCCTGAAAGAAAATTACGATATTTCACATCTGGGGCTCAATAAAATAAAAATAGAACACACCTCTTCTTCAGTGCAGCAGTGATGTTTCCCAGACTTGTTGCAACCAACGTGCATTCTGTCGTCAAGTACGCTGGACCTCAAAGAGTCTCTCCTTCTCACTCGATTGTGTCTGCTGGTACGATGTTGCGGGCGCTCCTTTTCCCTGGCTGTTGCTAAATTGAAAAAAATTTGTTTAGTAATTCAGAGAGAAAAAAAATTTAATTTATTTACTTTCTGCAGGAGAAGGTCTGGAGAACAAAAGATGGTCCGGAGTTTCCAAACTAGGACTCTGGTATTGCCCAGCAGCGCCCCTTCTGCGTTCACGAGGCGGATCTAGTAAACTTGCTCCGAGAAGGGGACTGTCTCCGTTTTCTTCAATGCTGTTTTTCCTCCTCACTCCAGCATTACTTAATGGGAATCTAGTAATGAAAAATATTAGACTGCAATTAAATAAAACAAAAATGAAAGCTTGCAATTCGTTATTTTTGAGATCATTGGCAGTATTGGCAGTTGTACTATTTGTGTTTGTGGCTACTGATGAGCAGATTTCATCCTGTTTGTGGACGCACAACAATCTGGGCATAACTCCACTCTCGCCCCTCGGCAAACTCTTCAATGACACCTGGAAGAAATTAATTGTTTATAATTCGTTGGCAAACAAAATTTGGTGAGTAAAATACCTGAAAAGTGACTCTGTTGTTGGGTCTGCCTATCTTGACTGCTGGAAAGCTGTGTTCCACTGGTGTTCGCTGAAAGTGTGATGTAAAAGGCTCTCCAGGGACTGTCAGCCTGTAGCAGATGTGTCTCGGGAAGCGTCCTCCAGAGCTGGACAACCAGGCGCCCAGCTGGGAAAAGAACAACTGTGATCGGACAGCCTGCAACAGCGCCCTCACGCCCATTCCTCCTCCCTCATCTCCATTTCTACAAAAAGAGAAGCAAATAAGTCACAGGAAAGTATAAAATTAAATTTCAAATTACGTATTTGGCTGCACTGAGATTGTCCACTGCTCGAGAAGCAAGTCGGATGGTGACGGTTTGACAGACGGCTCTGGACAAGCCGCCCTTTGAGCTCCACAGGCGCAGTCCGGGCAAACAAGAACCTCCAATTTCATAGGAATCCCCGACTGCCACAGCAGAGATATTCTTTTCCTGAATTCCAGTTCTCGTCGACACTGCGAAAAGGTCAGAAAATTAGTCAAAGGAAAAAAATATTACATCGGAGAGTAGAATATCGCATTATGAAGTCAAGGCCTTGAAAATTGATACTCTGCTTTGCATTACGTTGCATAAAGTTATTATTAATATTCCGTATCATTTCACTCTGGAAGCTTGTTATGAGACTCACAATAATTGGTTTTCCTATCTATGTTGTGCCTAAGGGAAACAATCTCCTGAGCAGTTCAGTGATATAATAGTGAAATATAATAATTGTATAATCAAATAATATCATTGAAATGTAAATAAAATTAAGAAAAATTTAACAACCAAATTTTTCAAATCGAGATAAAATTTCAAAACTGTAAATTCTAATCAAAAAATAAAAATGTGCAAAAATTAAAACAAATTAGAATTTAATATATATTTTGAATTTACACACTTTTAAAAAATAAGACTATTTACTTACCAGCGAATTGGTGTTGGGATCGCACTGGTGCGGGAGGCCAGCCGCGCGAGGTTTGGCCCCGAGTGGAGGGCAGTGAGGCCCTTCGCCGTAGCCCCGTTCGGTGGCGCCAGGCACTCGGCCCTCGAGCACCAGCACGCCAAGGGCTGCGAACAACTCGTGCGGCTCTGCATCCTCGCCCTCGAGCACGGCGCAATGCATCCCTCCTCCTGCAACAATGAGAAGAAAAAAACTCGGTTAATATAGCGCAGAGTTTGTTGGACGCATTCGTGCGTTTAATAAAAACTGCATTTCTAATGCAAAAGAACGAGGCAATCGACGAGTTCCAGACTAGGGCGGGGGTCGGGGAACGCGAAACGGGGTCACTCGATGGACGGGGTGTGCACCGCGCTGCATCTCTCGCGCCAGTGCACAATTATTGCAAGAACCAAAAGGCGCACCCTTTAATATTTATTACATTCAGCTTTACGTACGGAGAGCCCAGCGATTAACTTACGCAAAAAATCACGTTTTCGCGGCGCCCTCCTCTGCACCGAGTCGACTGCACTTGCGAAAAAGCATCGCCCGCGGAGAACTGCACGCAATTTGGCAGGACATTTACGCGATCGAGTCCCGTTGCGTTCGCAACCATCAGCTGGTTTAAAGGCCCTCTATCTGCGCTCGCAGCAGATCCTGGCCCCCTCTACAACGCAACTTCCTAAACTGCTTATGTGCGCACTTCGTCGCACATTGATTATTTTTCCACCGCGTGCCACATTCGCTCCTGCTGCCCTAATAAACAGTCACGCACCCTGAAAAATTGCACCAATAAAAAAAAGTCAAAAAATTTCTCCGACAAGTGAGGAAAAACCTTGAAAAATTATTCTTGACTTGCAAATAATAATGTGCGCATTATTATTTGAATGTTTTATATATATTTTTTTTAACACACGCGGACCGAGCCAAGGTTGCGCACGGCGGATTTAATACATGTGAATGTGTATGTTTAATGCCCCGACTGGCACAGGCCATCCTCAGCAACACCTATAAGCGCTTTGCCAGAGTCCCGGTCCACCTAGCAACAGACCAGCAGCAGCTGCGCTCGGGAGGCGCTGCGCCGCTTTTGCTCTCCGACGTCGCCGCGACCAGCCCAACCTTTCTGATATTAGCGTGATGGCAAAAGCTGAAACGAAAGCCGGAAGAGGATCGGCGGGTGACACCTCCAGCTCTGATCGGGCACCCAAATCGACCTACTTGCAAATGTCAATTGCTAATTTGGCGCAGCGTGATTGGAGGAAAAGTGTTTTGCAAAAAAAAGAGGTCATGACCTAAGCTATCCTTAATTTAGGTCAGTTATTGTAATTGGAGCGTCAAGGGCTAGGTACGAACAAAAAATATTAGAATTAATTGTCATTTGATACAATTATCAGATAAAAAGTGAAGAACAGCAAATTAATTGGAAGATGTAAAAAAATAAACGTGATCAATTTGTCCTGAAAAAATTGCTTGATCGTAAAAACGTACAAAAAATATTGAGAATAATTTTAATCTATATCTGATAATATAAAATATAAAAGTTCAATTATTTTCAGAAAAAAAACTAATGAATGTTTTTACAATTAAAAAAAAAACATTTTGTCTGTATTCTCTTGGGGAATAAGAAACTTTAGAATAAAAAATGTCAATTTTGACGTATATTCTCATCGCTGACGTCAGCATGAAATTGTTTTCCCGAATCAATCCATTTGCGTGCACGAAGCCAATATAATGATGGTTTCTCTCGCCCCGGACTCGCGATAATTTGCGCTAAATTCACTTTCTAATCTCCTCTCACGCCGTTTACCTAATAGACAATCTTGGTGTACAGCAATAAGGATCGTCGCGCAGAACAAAGAACGAAACAAAGATAGCTCTTGCCGCGGCTCAGTGTTCAGTATAAAAGAGTTTCAACAAACTTGCTAATTAGATAAAGAAACTAATCCTGCGCGCGAGCGCATCGCAATTGTTGTGCACTTTTGCAACTCGCGTTTTTATCAACAATTCATGAAATAAACGGCACGCGCAGGGCTAAATAAGGGGCACAAGTTGAAAAGTTCTACTTCCAAAAGAATTAACACGTGGTGAAAAAAGCTCTGTAGGGACGCAGTAAAACAAAACGCATCGAGAATTGAGGTTAAACAGCCGCATATAAAACGTAATTGAAAGTCATCGCGTTTGCAGCGAGTGAAATAAGAAATAATGAAGCGGCCGCAGTAAAACGGAGAATGCTTGTACGGCGAACCAACTTATTTTGTCGCCGCGCATGCATAAATTGCAGCGGCAAGATGTGCTTTCTAACGTGCAACACTTCAAATAATGTGACCACAGTTGGCTTTTAATTCCACGGCTTAATCAACTGCACCGAGTTTCTCTAATCTCTGACAGGCGCTGGAGATTGCGATTTGCTAAATTACAGGAGATTATGAAGCAACCAACTGACATTAATTTGAGACAAAATCACTCTGGCGTATATCGGCGATGAGATGGAAATTTAAAAGCCCTCAAGTGCACTTTACTACAACACACAATGAAAACATATCATAAAATTTTTAAAGAAGGTTATTAAAAGTCTGAAATTTTTTAAAATAATAATCTATTATTTAGTATTTTTTATTTTTAGATGATTTTTTTATTTTAAATTTAAGTAATAATATATTTTTTATCTTTTTTTTTAGTTATATCTATGTTCTTTTATTCCATTAATTCAAATATTTTGTAAATTATAAATAATCATGCAACTATAATTTATAAAATGAGCAAGACACAATAGCATTGTTTATGGTTTAAAAAAAGAAAATTCAAATCGTTTGGGGAGCCCTCGTTTGGGGAGAGTTATTATTCTGGGATTATGATTGAAGTATTTATAAATCCTTTATATGATGATTTTAAAAGCTTTTTCAGTTAAAAAATATTTTGCGGTGATTTGAATTTGAAATTCGGCTTTTCCTCAAAGAAGTTTTTGCGAGTTTTTATTGTTTAAGAAAAAACAATATCCTGCTCTACATGTTTTGGCTGCGGGCTGCAGCCATAATTCATGAGCTTTCTCGGCGGTAGTCGAGAGAAGAAACATGTAGATCAGGATATTTTGTTCTTAAACAATAAAAACTCAAAAAAACCCATCGAGGAATAGACAAATTTTTAATTCAAATCACCAAGAATCAACCCTCGATAGTGAACCTCGACTAAAATATTTTAAGGGTTTATAAAATAAATATTTTATTAAAAGATGCTTAATTGTCAAAAGCAAATACGATTTCTATCAGCGTTTCTATATTATTCGCAGCTTTTAATTTCACTTCGCCGGCAGCCAGGCGAGAAATAGACCGGCCAAATTAGCCGTCGTGCAGCCTCGAGAAGTGCAACAACTGATGTTGGGTAACGAGCGAACTCGCCGCGATACCACAAACAGCACACGCGCTCCTTGAACCAAAGTTAACCCACTTCAGGCCGCCTGCACTCGTTGAATTGCAGCGCGATGCACGATTTCAATTACAGATGTGAATTTGGCAAATTTCACCATAGACCCCGAGGACGTGCGTAATCGTTTTATGGCTACTCGGCGGAAAGGAAGTGTGTTTTTATTGCACCTTGGGCGAAGGAGACCAATTAGAAAAGAAAAAAAAATAAGTGATGATTCAGCTTTTCGGTGCACACGTGCGCGAGGAAAGGATGCGCCCACGCATCTGCTCGCGCGAATTGTTGTTGGCGAGAAGGGCGATCGCGGAACCGCAGTCGCGCGCGTCAGTCAACTCGGGAAACATTTGTGTGCAAATGCGAACCATTCATTTTGCCATTGTGCCCCTTTTGACGTCTTCGCCGCTCTCCGCCCGCGCTATACATGAAATATTGATCTGCTTATATGTCTGTTCCGTTCGCGCCCCAGCGACTTCCTCCGCGACTGCACCGACTGGGAAAGAAATTGGATTCGCAGAAGTTGGGCAATAAACTTGATTTTCTAGCAGATGTACAACGACCCGAATGGATGCGCGACTTTCCTAGATTTATTTCTTGGCAGCCGTCAAATTTCCGCCTCATCAATCATAATGTGCGGCCAAGAACCAGATTTTTTATCAGCAAGACTGGCTGGCGACTTACTGTAAATTTGGCTCATTACATACATCGTGATTTTTGCGTGAATTTTAAATATCGGCGTTAACATCTATTTGAATATATAACAGCTTTTTCATTTATTTTCATAAAAAAAGCTTTTGGTTCAACAGCGTAATAGAAATTTAAAAAAAGATTGTGTTCGTTTAAAAATAAAAACTAACTTATTGGATATTATTATTATTATGAAATGTTTGTGGTTTATATCAGAGAGGAATAATTCCTTTCTATCCCAAGGTTATAGGCCACTCCACTTGAACTTACTTTCTGTCTATTGTTTCATTATGATTGGTTAACCAAAACGGCAAACTAATAATTGGGCATGAAATCCAAAAGTATAAACCTTATTAGGAGCTTCATTGCAACATACAATGCGTGCATTTGACTCCACGGCTGCCAAGCAGATTTCGCCTTGAAAGAAGTTGTGCAGCGCGATCCGGAATTAATTTTAGTGCGTAGTTGGATAGTGCGTAAATGTGACCCGAGCTGATCTCTCTCCCGCTCTCCTCCAAACAGATTTTTTTGCTGTCAAACTCTTATATAACATTTCTAGAAAAGTCTCGACCAATTTAGACAATTTTCTTGCACATCTTGTTATTCCGGGAGCAATTTTACTAAAAAACATAATCAACAGAAGCAGCCTTACCAGCACCTCGCATCTTCTTTCTTTCCCTTATTATTGTTTTAATGAACGAGGTTGCATCATTACAGCCAAGGAAACTCTCACGATTTCACATTTTCATGGCTCGCACTCTGGCTGTCTGTTTTGTTCGCACAATAACTCTCAAGTAACAGTTAACAGTGAGTACACAAACTATCCATACAAAAAATATAACGCTTTCGATTGCCCAACGCCTTCATGTGTCCCAATTTTGCCTTTATTGCGATCGATTTGCGCCAGCGTTATTATCATTTCGATTTTGCATTTACATTTTCCACCGGAAAGTTTGTTTGTGAGTGTAAACGGGTTGTTTGAAAAGAGGCGAATCTATGTCCGCGGCTGCGTGATTTATAAATCGGGACGAGTGCCAAGTCGCGCACATATGCGAAAATACGCGCGTATATAATTCTGCAAATGTACACG